ATTAAAACGTAAAGTCTATTGTTCTGATAAAATAAAAACACATTATTTTATACGTCAGTTGAAATTACCTGGAGGCTAGTTTTTGGTATTTGTTGATAATGTCTTTAACTGTGGGACAAGTTTTAGGAATGGAGTAATTTTGTTCCTTATGCTTTTCTTCACAACGTTCGTTCAATTTTTCTGATGATGGAGAGCTTTCTTTAAATTCTCGTGGTATTGTGATGAAATTTTCTTGATTATTATGAATATTATTCGTTTGTACACTTTCCATTTTAGAACTTTCATTTAATTTATTGTCCACTAAAATGTTAGTGAGTTCCTCTTCAATGGACATAATATTACCTTTTTCTAAGGTAGATTGATTTTTAATAATGTCAAAATCAATTTGAACTTTACTTATAACGCAATAATTAACTTCAGTATTACTTTTCGTGCATACATTAACTTGTGTTTTGGAAAATGAATACGCTTTCAAGTAATCACATCCGGAGGAAACAGTATTATCTAATAGTTTGTTGAAATATGGTTGAAAAGGGATATCATTATTTTTAGAATCGAGTAATATATCTTTCATCTTTGGAGCTACTGGTTCTAAAGTACTGTTAGGGCAAAGCTCGCGGTTTTCATAAACATTATTGGCAACATTAGAACATAAAATTGGAACCAAGGCCTTTTTATATTCATCGTTATCATTTGAATACTCAAATGTCATTCTTTTATCGACACTATTTAGTTCTAAGTATTTGATGTGATCTGAATTTAAACTTGTCTTAACGCCAAATTTATCTTCATTATTAGTTCCGACAACGTTGTAATTTAATTCATTTTCTTCTAGTTTTTGTAAGTTACAGTCTTTTGTTGTATTATGGTTTACATTTTCTACATTAGGTATTCTTTTAGAATTTGCACTGGTTTTTAGATTGTGATAATCCATATCGTTATTTTTGCTGGATTTAGTTTCATAGTCTAAGGAATTGAGATTTTTTGGATAGATATTAACAACGGCGTTGGAAATTGTGTCATTATCATGCTTATTTTGTAACTCTTCTAATGCAAAGAAATCCTTTGATATATTTAGCTCATTTGCATGGTTTGATGTAGCTTCGTCTTTTTCAATGTTATTCCAAATACTGAGAGTGTTAATGTAATTTGAATCACCCTCTTCGAATCTCTTGAATTCAAGTTCATCGAGGTCATGATGAGTTAGACTTGACTTATTTTCATGGTGTGGTATTACATTATTGGTAATATTAATATTCGGAATTTCGGTGACGATTGTATTGTCCAAGCCTTTCTTTTGAATTTGTGATAATTTAAATCCTTCAGTATTTTTCTTATCTTCATAAATTAAAACAGCATTGTCGTTTTCGTTGCTTTTTGAAGTATCTTGGATATTTTTGACAGTAAAATAAGCATTCTTTTGGTCATTAGTTACTGAAAGGTCTTTATCACTGGAGACAATGGTTTGTTTTAGATTGGTATTCCTTTCACAGAAAGATTTATTGGGACTTATTTCTACCAAATCAAGAACTTGTTTTCCTACATTACGACTTTGTTTAGCTTTTTCTAAATATTGATTAATATGATTTTTAACAGTATTTACAAACGTACTTTGATCATCTGTGACAATTATATCATCATTTTTATTCATACTGTTTGCTTTCTTTTGTATTTCATCAATAACATTAAAGTTGTTTTTTTCTTTTTGTATTGTCTTATTAAAACATGCAGCTTTAGTTTTTGGTGTCTTCACAATACGAAAAGGATTACACACAACTGGCACCCGTTTTTCAGTTACATTGTACTTAGGTCTATCTAGTTGCAAGATTTCGTTATCGATTTTATTTAAAATTTCATTTATTTGTTCATCGTCCTCTTCTTTGTTATTTTCACTAAAATTCGTAAAATTTGCTTTCTTCTGTAATTTATCAATATCATTAAAATTTTTCTGTTTGTCTATTGTGTTGTTAAAACTTTTAGTTATAAAATTTGCTGTCTCAACTTCTAGATCATAAGTTTTCTTTCTCACATTCATAGTACTAAAAGGGTTAGGTACAACTAGCACCTGTTTTTGAGTAATATTGTAGTTAGGTCTATCTTGTTGCAGAATTTCTTTATCGATTACATTTAAAATTTCATTTATTTGTTCATCGTCCTTTTCTATATTACTTTCATCAAAATTCTTAAAAATTTGATCGTCATTAACTATATCCACATCAAAACTATTTTGCTGTAAATCACTAAACTTTTCATCGTCTTCATTTTTTTCTCTTTCAATTACATTGCGTAATTTATCATGTGATTGAGTGAAGGATTTAATTTGTTCTATTATAGCAAAATCACATTTCTTTTTTTCTGCAGTATTCGTTTGAACGGGATCGTGGTTTCTTCTTTTCCGTATTTTAAAAGTATCCGTTATGGTCATTTGTTTATTATTTTTGATATCTGTTTTCTCTTTTGAAGACATTGGTATATCCTTTGAGTAGAATAAGTCCAGTCCTTGAAAAAGATATTCAGAGTACACATCAATGCCCACTGAAATTAAAAAAAAATTTAATATTTATCTTGACATTCAGAAATTTCATTGACTGCATGTAAATCAACACTATGTAAGAACACAATAAACCATTTCCTTACCGAAATTGGAACTAATACAATGAGCCATAATTTTGTGCTCAAAGTGATGTCGTCTTACAGTTTGATATGTGATTTCGCCATTGTAAATGGTTATTAAGTCTTTGTCTCTGGAAAATTAAAAAAAATAAATGACGTAAATCTAATTCTAAATGATACAATTTAATTGTAGATTTTAATAGTTACTTGAACGATGCTAATATCAATAGGTAGTTTTCGGAATCTCCAATTATTATATAAGATTTGTGGTTGGCACCGGCAGTCAAATGATCCAGGTTCTCAGACAAAAACGTTTGATTTAAGAGTATTAGTTGTATCTTTACGCTATTTTCGTCTATCGGTGTTATTGATAGTTGATATTTTGGTAGTAAACTTATTTGTTTGCGCAGAATATTACCAGCCGGCGGACCTTTGTTCATTATCTGTAGATAAAAAATAATATTCGGCAATATTACTATAACTCTACTGCTGCTAGTAAAAGACATTGCCATTTGTTGTCTTACTGCCGAATGTATAAGACTTATAGTAATTTTCAAAACTTTACCCTACGTAATTTAGGGGTCTCCAGACCTTAGTTGGCCCCGTGTAAGAATTTCCTTTTTACCAACTTTTAGGTTTCACCTATATTTTATTTTAGAGTACAGCCTCTTCGATCAGATATAGATATATACCACGAAAAAGACTCACCCTTTCCAAATCTCGGGGATGACTTTCTTCTAGTAACATAAAATTGATTTTACCAGCAGTAGCGAGCAATGCACTGTAAGTCGGACCAATACCTTTCAGTTGTTTGCTCACGTATTTTGAATTCTCCCAAATTTGTGATTCCATGCATTTCGCCAAAATTATAGCATTCAATATAGCCTGGTAATTTTGCGGGAAAGTCTTCAACGCGTTAGGTCGAGTTACATACGATACTAAACCTTAAATAAAAGTTATGTGTATTTACATTATTAAAATGAAAAAGGATTTTTGCGACAATCCAAATGCGTGTAAGTTAGAGTTGGTTAGTTTTAAATAACGTTCAATTTTAACATTTCATGCTCATATCTTATGACAAAGATACAATTGGGACATTTAAGTAATATAAGCGAAGCCGTGGCCTTGTTTGTCTGTTTTAGACATATTTCTAGGTGCGGCTAATCACAATATATGATTACAAATTGGTAATAATTTATTTAAATGAATAAATCTTTTGGTTGAGCTTTAAGTAGATATATTTAATTTAACGGCGGAACAAATCGCGATGAAATTGGCATATATTAAACAAAGTCTGGAAGAACACATGACCACTAATTATGTTTTTTTAATTACTCCCGGATAGGGTCGCGGGTGCCAGCTAGTATGAAAATAATTATCTAGTACGAACTTTTTCTGACAATTGTCAATACTTGAATGTGGCCATGGGCTCTGTTTATTGTAAAATATAAAAATAATATAATGAGAAACTCAATATAACATCGAACAAAATATGCCATGTAAAATGAGTTGCCCAAAAGCAGAAGGGCTATAAAGTTATAACATTTATTTAGCAAAGTAGTACTCTGGTTTTGATATAAAGTATGGATTAATGTATTTATTATGCTTACATTTGCAAATACGAACAGCGATTCGCATTATCTTGATGGCCTCTTGGTTTAAGGAAGGTTCATGGATGGGCAAGCAGCCGAGGACTGCCTGGATGATGCTGCGATACACAAGACAAGTAGAATAAGATATGTTTTTATACGTTTACATATATAATAAAGCAAAATTGACAACATGAGCTTTGAATTATCTTCTTTATTTAGCTTGCAAAGACATGACTAAGTAGTATAGTGGAATAGTTAATCTTCCACATCTATCGGGAATTAAACAGAACTTAGAACTAACCTGAATTTAGTTTTATAATACAGTACTACTAAGCAAATATTGTATAGAGCATTTAGAATCACTAAATGGATGTTAGACATTTAATCTAAGGATGCACTTTATCGCATTTCTCACCTTCGAGGGAATATGTTTTGTGATTCCCGAGGGTGAACACAGAACGCATCGTTTAAGTTATCTTTGATTACCTTTGCTAACCACATACCCGGCAGCGGCGAGTTATTTTACAATAGTATATTATGTGGTTGTTCCGGTTGTATTTACATTGTTATGAATATCTGCGTTTCGTCTGACTTGTGCAGTGCTGCAGGTCTTATTTCAAGACGTACGTTCCATTACCTTACCTTCCCCTTATTACATCTTTATAGATAAGTAAATAGATTTTTCATTCACTCAATTTAAATAAGCTGTTGCTTATATACGCTATAGTTAATGACAAATGATTTGTACATACAATCTAACCGTAAGTTTCCACTGTGACATAAACGTAATATAATCTCATATTTCTTTAAACAAATGAGATAATTATGTTTTGTCTATTAAAACCCATAGTAGCTATAGACAGAACGTGTTGGAAAATCTTACCAGTTAAGTTTCATCTGTCTCGTATTGATCTTGCCCTTCATAGGAAAGCGTATAGTTGCGGCTGTATTGTTTCTGTTGAGAGCATTCAGGCATCTCCGTTCGTCGACGCGGAGGTGCATATCAGATAGTTCGTGACTCTCGCACACAACCCATAATAACTGTTCTAGAGACTCGTCGCCTTTTATCTATGCGAAAAGATTGCTTAGATTGTTAAAACCAACGGGTTCTATACCAAAATATTCTAACGTTCTATGTCTTTATCTTGATACAAGGATAAAAGAGCCGCTTATGTTAGGTACAGGTCAATGTACCCAATTCTTTGGGTACATCAGTTAGACCCAAAAATGTATTCTTATTTGAATATCATGTTACTTTGAAATACAGAGTCGCAATATATTACTTTGAACTGAGTCAAGATTTGAAGTTTTAAGTTTTTTTTGAGTAACTTTTCATTACATATTTTCTTAAATGTTACTAAAATATGATCATTTGAATTTCTCGACTCATATTGTTGTACTACCAATATTTTAGACTTATTTAACTTTTTTTTATATCAGCATCTATGTAGCATTTTTTTTTTAGATTTCGTGTCACTAATATAAAAGATTAATTTAATAGAAATAAAAATTCTTTATTTAACGAAATAATAAGGACATTTAAAATTAGATAACCCAATAAATAAAGTGACGTGGGACACCACGAAATTAATATTTTAGATATACAAATGAGCCAGTCCTCTCCGTAGATATGAGCAAATCTTAAAAGCTTTTTAAACTAATGATCAACGGATATCAAATTGTCATATTTAAAAAATAAAACAAAAAAAGTTGCTAAAACAAATATGAGGTAAATCGGGTGCTGTATTACTTTTTTTTTCCTTTGATTTAGTCGGTTTTGTTTTTTTTTTGTCATCCGTACCTTTGCATTAATTGGTGTATGCTTTATTCATACAGAATCTATATTTATACGTATCAAAATAGCATCAAGTTTTAAGCTGAAGTTAAAGGAAAATTACTTAACGGATTTCAAAATTCTTCCACTAATGAAAAGCTTTTTCTTAAAGCTTTTCTAGCAATAAGTAACCTAAGGTTTACTTTTTCATTCAGTTAAAGATAAAGTAAAGCAAACGCAGTTAAGTCTTTGGTGGAATGATTATAAAATACGAAGCGAACAAAGGATATTTACAATGGATGAGTGTCGAGTCTAGTCTAGACTGGAGGGGCGGTAAGGGGATATTTTGAAGTCTGGGGGTTAATTACGTTACAGTGATTTGCTAACTACTAACGCATTATTATTACGATACAATTATACTAAGAAGTTAATTGTTACATAATAATAATAATAAATAATAATAATAAAAATCGTTTATTTAGGCAACAAAAATTATGATAAAATTACATAGTAATAGTACGCCTGATTCCTAAACTAGGTTCTAGACCCGTATTATAGGAGCCAGGTCTCTTTCGTCTTAGTGCTATAGTATAAGTAATATGTTAGTTACATTGTGCGATTGCTTGCCTTACTTAAGAATTACAAAAAAAGAGAAAAAATTATAATTAAAATAGCTTAATATTGCATGTAAATATTTGTGCGTGTTTATGTACGTACGAGTGGATGTATATGTTCGTGGGTGAATGTATATTTCTGAGAGAAAAATGTTAGGATTCTATATAATAAAATCAATGAGTTTTTCAGTATCTGCATAGTTTAGATTTACAAGTATATGGAATAATAAGTTTTTACATTTTAAGGAGGTAAGATTGAGTATTTTGTTTTCTTTGTGTATTTTGTTATATAGGCATGGGCCCAGGAAGTATGGAAATTTTCCAGAAAACATGGTTCGTACTCTTGGAACTTCACATATGCTGTGTAAGGAGCGCTGCGTGGAGACTAAATCTTTTTTGTATGTCATTAATGAGTGTTGATGCAGGATAAGAGTCTGTATGTATAATTGTCTTACTGTAAGAACTTTACATTCCCTATACAGATTAGCTGTTGGGTATCTGTATGGACGGTTTGTACTACATTTTAGTATACCTCGTTGGGCTCTCTCTAAAGGCAGAAGATGCGTTTTATTTGTACCACCCCAAGATGAAATACAATAACATAGCACAGACTGGCACAGAGAGTAATACAATATTTTAGTGACGTCTTTATCTGCACAATCTCTGATGTTTTTAAAAACTGCTGTTAATTTTCTGATTCGCTGAGTTAATTGGTCTATATGCTCCGTGAAGGACAATTTTTTATCAATAATTACGCCAAGGTATCTAATTGAATCAACTTTTTGTATGGTCTGACATTTACAGGTGACACTCGAGAAGGACTTTTGACAGGTAGATGAGGTGTGTGCAAATAGGGGGAAGGACTCAAAAAATGGAGGGTTCTTAATGGAAAATGCTATATACTTTGTTTTTTCTATGTTTAATGTTAATTTATTATTTCTAAGCCATTTCGAGACGTTGTTAAACGCTTCCTGGGCTGCTGCAAAAGCATCAGGCCATGAGTCTCCATGGACTACTAAAGCTGTGTCGTCAGCGTAAGTTATAATAATTCCCCGACCAATTGGGAGGTTGCAAAGCTCGTTTATATAGATAAGAAAGAGGGTAGGCCCTAGTATACTGCCCTGCGGAACACCACAGCTAACAGTTAAGGGGTCACTTATATGAGGTCCTATCTTTACGCTCTGTGTCCTATTCGTAAGGTAATCTTTGAATAGGTTAAGTTGTGTACCTCTGATTCCAAGACCCTCTAATTTATTTAAAAGTATCGGGATTGACACTGTGTCAAATGCCTTTGCAAGATCTAAAAATAGAGCAATACTCTTCTTTCTAATATCAAGATTTTTGGCGACAAATTCAGTTAGGGTAAGTACAGCATGAGAAGTTGACTTATTTCTACGGAAACCAAATTGATTGGAGGAAAACATGCTGTTCTTTTCTAGATAATTGACCAATCTATTGTTAATTATCTTCTCAAAAACCTTAGATATAGATGTTAAAAGGGAAATGGGCCTGTAGTTACCAACAATCTTTTTATCACCACTTTTGTGTATAGGAATAATTATGGCATGTTTGAGAGATTTAGGAAACACTCCAGTTTGTAAGGAAAGATTAACAATGTGTGTTAAGACAGGTGCAAGTACGACACTATTCTGGCGTAGCACAGTAGAAGGAATATTATCCCAGCCCACCGAACTACCTGCTTTCAACGAGTTAATGGTGTTAAAAATTTCAGATATATTTGTATCTGTTAGGACAATAGAATTTACTGTTTTGTTGATTGACTGTGGACTATCGCTACCAATGTCAGGAATAATTTGATCTGAGAGGGCTTTACCTATATTAGCAAAATAACTATTCACGTCGTTGACTGCTTTTTTATAATTTACGTTATTTTGTATAAGATCTTGTGATACTTTGGGAATTGTTTTAAAGTGCGTTATTTCGTTTAATACTTTCCACGTCAATTTCATATTTCTCGTTTTACTAGCTTCCTTTAGACGTTCTCTTTCATAATTGGCTTTAGCTTTTTTAAGAAGAGTTTTACAGTAATTTCTATATCGTTTATATGTCTTAATAAGAATTTCATTATTAGGTTGAGTTCTTAATTTTATATGCATCCGATCTCTGTTTTTTATACATCTTAATAGTCCTATCGAGATCCAGGGTTTTTTTGTCGTCATGTTTCTAGATTTAGTTAAAGCCGTGGTATTACTGGTAATTGCTTTAGCTATAATGTTTATAAAATAGTCAGTGGCCAAATTACAATCAGTAATATTGTATATTTTTGAAAGGTCTGATGTTTCAATTGATTCAGAAACTTCTTTGTAGTTAGTCCTGGTTACCATGTTACTGATAAAAGGATTTTTTGTCTTAGTATCCATGACTAGAAGTATAGTATCGTGGTCAGTGAGACTATTTTGAACAACAAGAACTTGGCAGTTAAGTGTAGTGCGCAACATGAAGTGATCTAGACAGTTATTATCCCTTGTTGGCTGTGTGTGACCAGGTAGTATACCATGCACTGCCAACAAAATTCAAGTAATCTGTTGCGTTATTATCAGATGGACCAGGTGCTATGTTAATGTTCAAATCACCAGTAATTACAACGTTTTTATAATTTTTAAATGAGATTAATAGTTCTTCTAATGATTTAAGGAATGGCGCTATATTATGAAATGATGGCGATCGATAAATGGATATAAGGATAATACTATTATTTATTTTAGTTATAATACAGGTAGCATCTGAAAGTTGATTTTCATAGGAATCACAATGTAATTCGTGTTTAGTGTATACGATTACACCATCGTTTTGGTTTTTCAAAAGTTTAGAATTTATAGTATTGTACCCCATTATTTGCGGGATATATAAAGAATTATTGAGCCAGCATTCTGTAAGAACAATGATGTCTGGATTTATTGCTACTCTCGAAAGAAGTAATAATAATCCGTTAAAATTGCACGAAACACTCCTTATATTCTGTGTGAGAATCTTTAGTTTATGTGTTGGTGATTTTATTAATGAGTTACATTCTTCAGGTACGCAGGTTTGTGACTTTGATGGTATAATATTATCGATGTTATCATTAATTATTGAGATTGTGTGATCCATTATAAATATATAGAATTTAATTGTAGGTAACTGTAAATAAGTATTCGTTTCAAACAATGTGTGGACATAATATGTTCAGGGCTGTCTGTTTTATAAATTATTATCAATATTTTATTATGTACCTTACTACATGTCAATAGAGGTTCAATTTGATTAAAGCATATATTATTATTGTGAAAAGAATACACGTGTTGTATTATTAAGTAACAACAGAAATTATCATTAAGTTTATAGTACTGGAGGAATGATATTGCAATTTTACTGTAATTTCTAGTAACTGTATTAGATGTTAATATAAAATTGATCTTGATAACATTGTAAATAAGATAGTTAATATTAAGATTTATTCTGAAACATGTTGCAACATACTTATATACATTGATAATGTTATGTGTAATAGAATCACTTAAATGCATCGTAAATAAGAGTAATATGGCACATAGATTGCCACTTTCAATATATTTATTTGTAAATTTTTTATAAATGAGTTGTTTATAGTGGTCCCGTACGGTGGATTGCAGTAGTAATAATAGGCGGTACAGTGTATCGGTGTTTAGATAGTAGCAGTGTTTACAGGTTAAGCTTAAGTAATAAAGGACATTAATGTCATGTTTATCATACTTGTATGGTATAAGGATTTGAGAACAAAGGTGCGTTTTATAAACGTGTCTATCATCGTACATTTCTATGATGGGGTAGTAGCGTGTGTAAATATAAGAGTGACGTAGGAATGATTGGAAGTTAATTGTGGTTTTCAGTGTGTATTGTTTTTTGTGTTTTGGTGAAGTGTGTTTACATATGATATTTATAAATAGAACAAACAAGATAACATTCATGGCGTTATATGTTATGCAAATACGTTTTAAAATTGTACTATATAGTCAGATTATTTTATTTTGTGTTCTCAATGAATGTAGTTGATCTTCATTTTTAATGACAATGTACGGCGCCCCTTCCGTTTTTCGTAGAAATATTTTGCCATTTTTAACCCAGCAGTGAACGAATTTTTCTGTCTTTGCCAATTCTCTGGCGAGAAAGTGCAATCTTCTAGTTTTTGCTGTTAATCTTTCCGATATGTAAATTGGAACGACTTCCCCGACGATACCAAGGTGATTTGAGTTTAGTTGATCCGATCTGTTTTTTCTGTACTTTGTGACTGCTGCTAGCACATCCATTTTAGCCCAAGTATTGGTAAATTCGACAACGACTGTAGACGTGATGGAGTCTTTTTTAGCTGGCAATCGATATATATCCATTAATTCACTCTTCTCTATTTGTACATCCAAGGTATTAGATAGGCGCTCGAAAATTTGTAAGAGATTGGATTTGGATTCTGCTGTTTTACCAGGCACGTTCCTTATTTCGACGGCTGTTTTTAGGGAAAAGCGTTCCATAGTATCCAATCGCTCTTCAAGTACCGATGTCCGTTTTTCAAAAACGGTTCGTTCCGCATTTAAGGTAGAAAACTTATCTTCAATGGATTTTAATTGATCTGCTAGGATGTCAAGGCTTTTTCCCAGGTCTTGAATAGATTGATCGACTTGCGATCTGAGATCTTTCATATGACCTTCAACTTGAGACTTCACTGTCATTAAGTGGTTTTCCAGCTTATCCAGCCGCGCACTTTGTGATTTAGTCATGTCCGACATCATTTTCCTCATCTCATCTTTAAAAACTGCAAATTCACTTTTCTCTTCCGCGGCGCCGCCTCGTTTTCTATTGTGCGGGCGTTGGAACGCTTGTGGCTTGTCTTGTCTTTCATCCGACCCTTTCGAAGAGATCGATTCGGATGGAAGACGCGAAGAGGAGTCCGATCTCGGAGTCAGAGAACGATCAGTTGAGCCGATCATACTGCCGACGGCGCGCAATCAAAGTAGTGTAGGCCTATTTCGCTAATGACTTAACGCTTGTGTGGGTGTAGTTCATAGCACACAGGCGCAACAGGTGCGACGTCATTCAATATAGGGCGTGGCCTTGATGCGCACGAGCAGGAGGACAATTATTTTGTTAATAGATGCACTCTTTTCGCATGGACACTGTCGTGGTCATGGGTGGCCTTCGGCCTTAATGAAGTGTTACGTAGGTTGGTATTACTCACCGACGACAACGCCTATTTCTGAATATTAATACTGCTAATAATGCACTTGTGTGCGTTTAGATTTTATGTATTTATATAAAAAACGACACGGAGCAGCTAAAGACGTCCGCTCGGCACCACGGTCGCGACGAAAGAGGACATAAGTACTATGTTGTGAAAAAGGATAGTCCGATATTATACTTAATTGTAAGTGCAATCACTACTTACCATCTTAATGCCTTCCTAATGAAGAAATGCACTTACTTTCATTATACGTTTCATCGTATCCAAGTCCAAATAGTAAATCGATAGCAGACGGCCAGCCTCTGTTGATTGTATGCAGCAAACTTCGTCCTTTGTTATGAGACCTGAGCTTTCTAATCCGTTCACAGCTTTCATGCATAATTCTAAAGAAATTTATAGAGATTCAAAGGATCCTTCAATTTACCAGAAACCGTTCAAAACTTCAAAGTCCAAATATAATTTAATTTTCAATAAAATATGGCCACGTGACATAAATCTTAATGCAAGCTCGTTAAAGTGTCTTCAATGACATTTTACAATTTATAGTTAAAAGGGTATGCAACAGATTGAAGTACAATTATTTATATCGTCGTAAATGTTAAACAGAAAGCGAAATTAATATTCAATCTTACAAATTAACAGTTTTACAAAGACACTGTTGATATAATAAATATGTTAGAAATTGAGAAGTAAAGAAAGATTGCTAGAAGAATAACGGTATTGATAATAAAATTGTATTCGAAATCTTAAACGCTTACAGTCTTTCACTTATACTGCTTGCCTGAGATCGCATGCCTTGATAAAACTTAAGATGGCACGTTCTTTCGACACACATTCGTCATGATCCGGAACTAGTAGCGGATTCATAAATTGCAAGATACATAGTGCAATGGTAGCATATAAATTATTTTAACGAATTTTAACGAACAACAAAAGGCATAATTAAATAAAATTCCAACTAGACCTAAGAAAGTATGGATGAATTGTGTGAAAGAGGGTATGTGTAAAAAGGGGATGTATTCAGATATGACTTCTGATAGAGATTTATGGAGTAGTACCACATACTGTGCCAACGCTCCGTCAATACAGCAGGCAATCTGCTCTTGTCAATGACAAGGGCAGATCGATGAAAGACATTTAAATCATAAAGGTGCTAATCATCGATGTATAAAAGACTCTGAGTATTCTCTTGGCTTATTCCTTTTATAGGAGATTAATATTATCTCTTAACTTGATGACACTCAAACCTTTGACGACTAAATTAGAATATTCATCCACATACCATAGATGCCTAACAAATATCTTACCGTTTAAATACAGAAACGGTATGCTGCTAATTTACGTCGGCATTTTGTGAAGACGGAATTCCATGTAGAGTAGACCTTTTCATGGCTCTTAGATCTTATAATTGTTGCTTGTTAGACATTTTTAAATAGTTCGTAAACTCGTCTAAATTAATGACATCATTAATTTTCATGCTGTTTTGATAACGATTTATGATGATACATACCTTCAATTTTTTTGGAAATAAGATCAGTGGGTGCTGACTGCGGTAGACCTAGGTACATCTTGGGGTCGCGTGCTGCTCGTACAAAGAGAAACGTGGAACGCACCCATTGAACGCACTGCGCTAGGTCGGTCACAGTTCCCAGAGCCACTTCACTGTTTAGATTTTCAGCTAAGCGTTTATGTAAGTAGCTTTGCAGTGGCTCACATCCTCCGACCAGGGCTTGATATCTTGCCTACATAAGAAAATCCTGATAAATGAAACTGGTTTTTGAAATTTTTTAATTGGATTTACTTTGGAATAATAATTTATAACATAAGATATAGTAAAAGAATTGTTGTTGTTTAACGTTCATTGATTTAATTACATTGGTTCTATAGTCTTATTAAAAATTTACAGCTGCGTTACACTGGAGTTCGTATATAAACGGGATGATTATTATTAATTTGCTAGCTGGTAATAATAGCTATTAAAAAATACGATCGACGTTTTGTCATTATTTTGACGTTTTAAATTCATAAATAAATCACACTTATCAACGCTATACTTCATATTTTATAGAAAATATTTAAAAATGGCTTTAACTAAAGAAGAGAAAAAGGCAAAAAAGGAAGCCAAAAGGCTAGAGAAATTAAAAGCAGAGGCTGAAGAAAGGAAGAGACTAAAAAATGAAGAACTTAAAAGAGAAATGGTAGCTCAGGCTCGGAGACGAGGGGAACTGGATAAAAAATGGAGGGACTTGATGCTTAAGATAAAAGAACCCGTCTTCAAACAAGACATTGAGGTCTTTTGGCACAGTTTTGATAGGACTGTGGACAAGAAAAACCATTACATCAATAACATAATGAATCTGATAAATTTAGCAGACGATCAGTTCCAGCGCACCGTTGCTAGTTTTTGTGATACCATAGACACTATGATTTTAAACTTTTTAACTGGTATCGAAAATATATCTGAAGAAAATGATCGTAGAACTGCTGCTTTACTTAAGATGGGTGAAACAGAATCGAACCAAATTAAAACAGATCACAATGCAGCAGAGACACACTTACAATTATTGATTTTCCATGGACACACCACAGCTGATACACTCGCTTGGACAACGCGGGGTGAAAACCTAGTAAAAGAAGATGAGGATCGAAACAAATATGCCAGTGAACGGGAAAATCTCCGTTCCCATCTCGAGAATTCGTACAACACCATGTGGGATGATTACAAAGCTGTTCTAAAAAATTACGTCTTGAAAACCGCTGCAAATCAAAAAGCAGTGCGAAGATTACGTCGTAAAGAAAATTTGATGGCAGACATTATTGCATCACAGGCTAAAAAAATAGCTGACAGTGATGGCTTACTGAGAAAGCTTCGAAATGAACTTGCTGCGTATGAATCTGGTACGAAACAAGCTGTGTTTCGGGACCGTCGGGATAGACACAGGTCAGCTTGTTTTCGCTTAAAACAAATATTATTCGACGGCTGCAAAACAGATACAAAACAGATGGCCAATTTAGTGAAAGCTTCAGATAATACCATTGAATGGCTAAGAGATGCACATAAAAAAGGAGAGAAAATCCTACGCCTTGCCGCATTGTGTCGGAAATTTGAAACTCAACGAGAAAAAGTATTACCATTTGGATTATCTATACCCCATTCACCTGTACAGTCTAAAACAAATTTGAGAAGACTTCAATCAGATGATTCCTTAGTTATGAAGGCAATTTCAACGACTTGCGGATTAACAAGACTCTGGCAAAAGATTTCTAAAGCCGAATTGACGCGGAAAGCCTTAGCACGAGAGAAGGTGTTGCTTGAACAAGAAAATGCTCTTCTTCTCCTTCAAATTGAACAGCAAGATAGCAATCAATTTCAACCTGAAACCAAAAAATGTATCTGTGATAAGGTAACAAAACGAAACACAATGTCGAAGCCAGTTCCGATTGACGGAAATATGGAAATGAGGAAATATTGTAAGGCTCGTTAGGGATTTGTTCAACTTCGGTGCTCGTGATATGACATGATGAATTTGTACGATCTTTATTGCTATACTTGAATAATTAATTTATAATTAAAGGAGTTAATTTTAGAGTGCAATACGACATGAGACATTTGTATTTATTCCGCGGCAGACGGCGGCGTCGCGAGCGTTGCATGTCGCAATGACGCGAGACCTACACGCGGCTCAAACGATGCCACTATGACCTTACCCACTTCTAAAACCGTGGGACAGGCAACGATCGATAAGCGTTTTGGAATGTGCTTTAAATTTTTTAAATGTCTTGTAGTGTTATTTTTACCTTTGAATTGTGATTATAATTATCTCCCAAACATTGTGACACATTGTTTTAGTGATGTTCCGAACCTTAAATTATATATTTTTATATATATTGATACTAAAAGTGATTTTGAAATAAAATTTTATATAAAAACTCATTTTTATAATAATGCGAAATATTGAGTATACATAATTAGAATGCCAGTTATAGTTGTGGGTTAAATCCAAATTTAAAAATCTTTTTTTTTTTATTTTTAAATCGCTTGTATGTTAGACCATAAGTTCGTGTCACTTATTGGTAAATGCAAGTTCATGTGGTATTAAGTTTTACATAGAAGATACACAATATAGGTATAATATATACTATTGTTGCAATATTAACCTTGCCCTTTTGAATTCTAAGAAACAAGTATTCATGAAAATATAAATAAAATACAAATACTGTCCGTTATTACGCGCGCTTAAGTTACAGGATTTAACGAGCATTTAAACTTGGAATTGATAGGCAATTTACATGTAACAATTTTTTTAAAAGATTTGATTGCTTACTGACATTTTTTTATATAAAAATATGAAACAAAAATATACAGACAAATTGGAAACCTCCCTTCTTTTTGAAGTCGGCTAAATGTATTATAATTTTAGTTGTATACAAAATCGATTTTGAAAAATAAAATCTAATCGTTCTTATATTCAAATCCACTGCCTTATCTTGTCTATTTTTGTCTTTAATGACAACACTGGAACGTAAGTTTTGTCTATGAACTGAACAAATGTTAACATTGCATATTAGATACAGATATTAAATGAACACAAGATCCGCAGCGTTATATATACCAGATAACGCTATAAGAAAACTAATAAGATAACTCGGAGAAGAATCTCAAGTACTGTTAATAATACGTACATTATTTTTGGTTCTTCTTTATTCGATCAAACTCAAAAAACTAATCGTGATGGAAATTAGGGTACAGGTAACATCATAAATTCGCATTCTTATCCATATGCACTGGACCGCTGTTTCGAAACAGATTTATCGCGGATTATTCATATGTCGTTTTATTTTTTTTGTATGTCGCAGAGGTAGTATAATTGAATTTACCTTAAAACCGATTTATGAGTAACCCCGCATTAGTTATATGTTATTTTTATTTTACGTGCGCATAATAAAAAAAAACTGGATATAATTTTTCGATAAACATTTAGATTTTTGCTTGTACTAAGGTTATTCATAAATAAGTACAAAAAATAAAGATAAAGTTTTGAAAAGTCCAAACTAAATTGTAAAAACTAAAAGGCAAACCCCGCCAGACATGATGATGCAGACACGTAGAAGGTAAAGCTTTAGATTATTTTATAAATGTTTTCGTATACCGAGACGAACTGTCGGCACACGTTCGAAAAGCTTGTCGAATATAAAGGGACAGAAATGTGAATCACTTCCTCATCACGAAGTAAAGATGACAGTGCGTGTTGCTTTCACTGGGTTGTGCCTCAAAGGACCTAGTCCTTCCTTGTGTCCTACTTATACGATTAAATGTTACATTTATTTCACAAGTTCTATTCAGGACTAAATAATATACTTCTTTATTCATTAATGTTTGAGTAACAATGAAGCAAAAAATAGTCTCGGAACATCTGTCTGAATTGTGCTAATTTTGTAAGTTGACCTTTGCTCTTAACTTTTTGTTACCGCAAAATTAAAAATAAAAACAATCACGTTTTCTAATAAAAACATAAGATCAATAATCTTATGAACAATCTTTTATTTACTGTATTTGTTCTTTTGACACAGATAATATCATTAACATGAAACTGTTTTTTAATAGTAGCCCGGCGAGGCTTTTCCGACCACGCATCTCTCATTTAGCTAGGAAATTTGAGTATGATTGAAGATTCACGGTCACCCCGTACTATGCTTTAATTGCTTGATAGTCGATCTTCACGTAAAAGACATTACAAAATAATTACCAACCAGATAATTTCGGTAGAAAAACGATTTGAGTTACGAAAACGTGCGATTCTTAAGAACTTAAAAAAAACTCTTAATCGAGTAGTTACGAGTACATTGATGATTTTGTATCTTAAATTGATTTTACATGCAGTTGTGAAGACACAATGTATATCTAGATTTTATAAGTGGATAACATATGCATTGGAATGAGTTGATATTTAGACACGGCTATTGGTTGTATAGTTTTCGAGTTGTGCGTGTGTAGAGGGACATCCATCACGAGAGGGCGACATTGTGGTAACCTCGAAGCGTAAGGGGAGTTGTGGGGTGCGTATATAAGTATCAGACAGTACCGGGGCGCGACATCAGTCGCTGCCGAGCTCTCTAACAGCCACCATTGTCAACAGCATTAATTTGTAGTGTTTTGTGTCGTATCATTTGTGTTCAAATATACCAACGGTGAGTTTTTGAAGTTTTACTATGATTTTTAACCGACTTCAAAAAGGAGGAGGTTCTTAATTCGTATGTTTTGGTTCGTCGATAACTCCGCCCCTAGTTTTCCAATTTTCACAATTCTTTTTTTATTTGGAAGGCGTGTTGTCATTTGGTCCCATTTTTTGAAACATTAAAAACTATCTAATAATAGTTTTTGAGTTATTCTCAATAATTATAATTCCACTAGGGATGATTATTACGTTTAAAATTATTTGCTAGTCTTATTAGATAATGATTTTTGTTTTTGAAAAATTCGAAAATAAGGATCTTCATCATGAGATCATAGAGGTCCCCACTGAGGAGCTCTGTGCCTACACTTTGTTAGCTCTTAGTCAACTACGCTGGCCTAGTAGGGTTCATATGCTAGATTGCATTGTGATAGGGAGAGAAGTAAATTAGGTATGTTACCTATAGTTCGTAGTCGTAGAATTACATTTTTTACCGAGTTTAAGCAAGTATTTCACTGCAGAAGTACAGTCTCAACTAACAATGTAAAAAACAGTTACGTTATATCATAATTCCGGCAACACATCAAAGCCGTAGTTAACAATTGTAAGCTGTTAATTATTGTTGATAAGGATAAAAACTGGTGCAACGCCCGTTTGTAAAAACATCAATTGATTTTCTTTTAACTTCCGAAATTTACGCAACTGATGAAATAATTAACAAAGTTTTTAATGTGACTGGTGATGAGTAAAACCGCTTGACAACATGGTTTGACTATAGTTTAGGATTGTCTTACAAAATTAACGTCAACACGATATTTAATAACACCGAATATCTGAGATTATTGAGTGGCAAGTGACAAGTTACGCCTCATCGCATCGCAGGCCTGTAACTTAAGTATTTCGGTTTATGTGGTGACATGACATAAATTGTATCGAATCGAGGAATTATGCTAATGTTACGAAAATTAAAAAATTCAAGATTCTAGGTCGACTGGAAGTACCCTATTGCGCTATTAAAATATTTTCTTTATATGATGGAACTAAAAATTTACGATTTTCGAAATTTTACTTTTATCTGTGCTATACGACGTTGCTTCATGTCAAATTTCAAGATCTTAAGTTCACGGGAAGTACCCTGTAGGTTTTGATTCCCTTGCGAATGTCGAAAACGTAAATTTGCGATATAAAAGGTTGTATCTTTTGATTGCGTTGGTTTAGAAGATTTATTTCTTCACAGCCGCAAGGGAACGCAGACCTGAGTATTTGATATATGTAAATTCCAGCTTGATACCTTCACGTTTTTTAGAGAAAAAGTGTCTTTTGACAGACAGACGGACGGACAAAAAAGTGATCCTATAAGTACGGAACCCTAAAAAATAGTTTAAATCAAAAGATTTTTGAGCAATAACTTTTTTAAATGTGATTCCTAATTAGCTGTAGTTTCGCTACTGTACACAGCTGTGTGGCAGCAGGAATAGACAATCAGGTGCAATTCTTCCGCTTTTTATCAGCAAAAAAAGTTAAATCATCTTATATAATTGATAATAGTTAAACGCATGTGCGTTCAGTATTGCTGACAAAAAAATCGCGTGTTCCGAATCCGATTAAAACTAAATGAATAGTGAAAATAACTATTAGTCGGTGTTCGAACACACGCAAGTTTTTTTCTTATCACCAATACTTTTCTTTGATTACCGCGTAATTTCGGTACTAGACACACCCTGGTTCATCTCCTAATTAATGTAATATTAGCTGTGCCGACTTCTATCAATTTAAATTTAAAAAAATATACGAAGTTAATGGTGTAACAATAGATTCTAAATAAAGGTTAGTTTTCACTGTGCAAAGTCCGTAAATTATTAAAATGTCATAGTAGCTAATAGTATAGGAGGTAGCAACGTTTTCGAGAAAGAATTTCCAGTCAGCTGAATTTGTGATATGTCGTCCTTCTTGCTCTTTCGGATAGAGTCTAGGTAGTCTGGCAGGCGGTAGTGGTTGCGTTCATTAATAAGAGATCAGAAATACACAATTTATCACATCTCAAAGCAATTGAAAAAAACCATTAAACATGATACAATCATAAATCATTAATAATTGACCGTGTTCCTCTAACCTTCTCAAAACATCTTACGCATATCATAAAATAATTTTCTTATTAAAAAGACAATTTTGCAAACAATATAATTTTACAGCAGATCTTTATTGTTCGTAAGTTTCTTTTAATATGTTTCGGTCACCTTCGAAATAATTCGATTGATTGAATGAATCTGTTTATGACATAGACGTCATAAAACATTTTTATTGGTATTAAATAAAAGAATACTTTATAGTCTACCATATCCTTATCCTTATTATCCTAAAATGAAAATGAGAAAAAAATACAATAGGTTAAAGTGTATTTAGTAAGTTTGTTAAAGGTTAAAGATCTTACTAAGCCGCTTGCCTTTGAGAGTTAGCAACTTAGATTCTAGTTTACCACAAAACTGAAAAATAACAAATATTTTTATTTAATTATTATGAAATATTAAATTTTCGAAATATTCGCATTTATGATATTAGTAAGTTAAATAAAAAGCAGCTCTTCAAGGCATAAATTCAAAAAAAATGAACAAATAGTATCCTATGTCCGTCTCCTGGCTCTAAGCTACCTCCTCACCAATTTTCAACCATATCGGTAAAGCCGTTCTTGAGTTATAAATATTATAACTAACACGACTTTCTTTTTTATATATAGATATAGATAGATATATAAAGAAAATTTAAAAAAAAATGTCTACAAAAAAATGACACAGATTATACAAGTACAAAGTCAATTTCAGTACTAATTAACAAGATGTATTAAGTTGCATTTATCTAAATTTTAACATTTTAAGCACCTATTCAAAATTAATCTCAATGTTATAAATTGCACATTAAGCTAATTAATGTTGATAATTCGCTCTTTGTTCGTTTTGCAGAGCTTCTAGATGTAACATTTTAAAATGTAATTTTTAACTTGTCTTAATTTCTTAGAATTTCTTTGGAACATACGTTAATTTACGAATTCTCACGTAAGATTGGCTTCGACTTGTGTCTGCAGAAATCAATCACACAAGGCCACAGCAATTACATCTATGACTTTATGTAAATAACAACCTCTGTTGTTAATTACAACAAACATACCTTAGTTTTTAAAATGTAATTAAAGTTATAAATTACGTAAAGTTAATATTAAAATTTGTTATATAAAACACCCGTGTCTACTTATATTAATTCCTATTTTTTTGTCTTGTCAGGATCATGGCACGAGAAAAACAATCTTAATATAATACACTAGAATCTTAGTTTTTATACAAAATACATACCAACAGTCAATCGAATCCAATTATATGTGATGATATTTTATTAATATATAATAACATATCATTATAGGTTATAAAATGTCAAGTTATAAAAATTATTTGTAATATTTATCATTTATAAAATAACTATAAAATTAATCACACCAATCAACATACTTTAGCAATTTTTACAATACTTGTGCTGGTATGAAAAAGTGCTACGCCTTAGTTCAGGAGTAGCCTTTGCTATTTTTCTTTAGAAATGTTTGATAAGGTAATTAACGTGCACTGTTTTACACTTTCAAAAATTAAAAAAATATATTTAAGTAAATACATAATTACTGTTTAATTTTTCATTCTATTCTCGAGCGTTTAATTTGACTCTATGACTAAGTAGCTTTTGTTTGGATTCGTATTCGTATTATGTAGTTACAGTGATTCAAAATGAATCTTAAGATAACTTACTGGTTATTTACAGGTAAATGTCCTCCATTTTTTTTATTTATGAATCCATTATTAATCACTAGTTATAATTAAAGACTACAAAGCGATAAATAACATATCATTAAGACAGTCATTTTAATGACCTAGTTAACATGATAAAGAGCTTTAATGCATGCACCCGGACCTAAGTTAATGAACACAATGAATTATTAATTTTCGATGGTATATTAACCGTCTTCTAACCACGATGATATTAAGTATATTCAATGTTGTAGATTAATAATAAAAGATTTTCGCAGACTACTTAACAGTTGCTTTAAATTCTAGATACAATTCCTAATCAAGATTAGAATGTATGTAGCTCTTTCTTTAGTCACAAATTTGTTTCAGATGTCGTCAACAAAGATGCTGGTCTGCGCGTTAGTGGTTGTGTGCGTCAGCTTGAGGCATGGACTGGCTGCGCCTGCGCCACAGGAAGACGGACCACCCACACCAGTAAGTAATCATTATTATTTGAGAATAGTTTGACAATTTTAAGCAACAATTTAGGAAGATTGGGCAACATTGTAAGAGGATGGCAGAAGACTTTGGAATCCTTAGGAATTGCACACTGAGGGAAAGAGATAGGCATCAATTCTTACTTTTATTTAAATTCTTTTTAGAGAGATTTCTAAGTTGTACAGTCATGTTAACATTTTAGAGGTAAGTGATGGCATTCAACAAGATTACATGCTAAGATAATATGCGCTTACGCAGATTTGCTGTTTGCTAACTTGCGGTTGGCCACAATGAATTCTTACAGGTTCCGTTAAATAAGGTTTACGTGAGAAAGTCTGTAAAACGACGTGTATGGTTAGCTTTAAATTCTCAAACCAAATACAAATAAATAAACGTCAACGCCGATCTATCTAAGGAATAATTCTTAACTTTAAAATAAAGAAGGAAAAAAATGCAACCGTTAAAGGCTAGAAAGAAAACGACCTGTTAACAAAAGTACATTTCAATATCATCTTCATTTCTCTGTCTCTAAAAGGAATCAACAGCGTCTTAAGGAACTCATTAGTTGTCTAAGAATACATAAAATGCTGAATAAATTAAATGAAGAATTCACAGGCCATTAGAAGTATGGAGTGAGACTCGTAGCACGATTGTTTGGAAGGTCGCCGGCATTTTTATACTTGAATACTCATCACGATTGACATCTTTGGACAAACTGTGAATTGAAATATGTGTGAAGGTGAAAGAATGCAAATAAATGTAGTTAAGGAATTATTTTGATAATTAATTGAAATTTTGATAAAGGAATCGAGAATTACTTAGAAGCTTGAACCAATATACGTTTATAATTATTTTATATAACTCTACAATGTAATAGGTTTGGTCAAATGTAATTTAATAATTTAAAAAGATCACGACAGCCCAAAAATTAAAGGATGCTTAGTTTGTATTGTTGTTTGAAATGTTCCAAATAAAAGTTTATACTATCGTCATCGAAGGACCAATAACGTTTTCATCAGGCGTTATTTCTCGAGCTAATTGTTAATAATTTCGCAAGTCAAAGTTCGTGTGACAATATAAAATGTTATCATAAACAATCTTTCGTGTATACTAATTAAATTCGGTATTTGTATTCTTATATGAACTTGAACAAATATATCGCACGGAATTGCACTTCTTATGTCTCAAGGTACATTGTATGCATTGGCTTTTTATTGTTCGGTGTTGGCAATCACTATAGATAAGGTCACAAAGAGGCTTGAGATTGCGTCCAATTAGATCTCAAGCAACTGTTCACATGGCTAACATAATACAAAGTTACTTAGATGGACCTGATAGCGCATTAGACGTGTTAACGCTTTGCATTAGTCCTGTATCTCAAGACGGACTTACAAGTTAATTGCTATAATCGTTTTATTTGCAATTAATTTAAATGATTGGACTGATGAGTTTCCGTTGTAAATACAATTCTTGTATTGTTTATTCTGTATATTAACTTGCTATATTTAAATTCAGTCTTAACTAAAGCCGATTGGTCTTTTAATCTGACCTAACTGATTAATTAACCTAGAACATAGTTTAAAGACTGATATACATATTTTTACAGTTCTTATGGACGGAAGTATTATTTCATTGTTTAAATAGATTCTAGCTATTTTATAAAATAATTTATTAAGAATATTTGAAATTAATCTCATATTCAAAACATTTTTATATTACGTGAGACAAAAACTACGACATAGCTTTTATAAATTAAAACTTAAAAGAACTTTTAACTTCCTGTATTAGTCGTTGTAATATAGAAGTTATTCACCAAAAAAAACCTATTTGAATATAACTACAAAAACCAAGTTAAACTTAAAACTGTACGCGTAGAATTTTCTCACGAATCTTCTTCAAAAACATTCATATAAATTGACTTTTTTTTTCAATCTAAGCACATCAAGGTTTCCTTTATACATGTAATAAAGTAAGCAAGGTTACTCGTATGTATTATTATAATAATTTACCTTTATATGTATGTTGAATTATTTTATGAATGTACATTTTAATATCTATAAAAACTAATGTGACTTCTAAGAAACATTGTCAAGAGACTATAATTGTAAAATTTTAATCATTGTGATGTATATATGCTATGTATTAGTTATGTGTTAATAACTACTTCATAGTGGGAGTTTTCAAAACTTTACTTATTTTTACACAAACCTATATAAACCGACTAGCTGTCGCACCCAACTCCATACGAACGGAATTAATAAAAACTTAATAAGTACCCTATGTGTTCTTCCAGACTGTGTTCTACATTTGTGATAAATTTCATCAAGATCCATTCAGCTGTTCAGAAGATACATTCAAACATCCATCCATCCATTTATCCATCTAAATAAACATTCGCATTTTTTTTATTAAAAAAAATTAGATTTTTTTTTATAAATTTACTAATCTTTCTTTTATAATACCATTCCAACTAAGCTCAAGGCTTGTGCTATGGTTTACGACAGTAGTCGAATGGCGGGATCCAACCCGCGACCTCGAGATCAGAAATATATACCCTTAACCATTAAGCTATTGACGCTTTTTTTTTTATAAACATTAGTGATAGATACCTATGACATTTGATATTATTTAAACTCATCAGGATTTTAATTGTAAATTTCTTTTACAGTACGAATATAAATACGACGTAGAAGACCCAGAGAAGACGTTATATTTCGGCGCTAATGAATCCGGTGATGCACAGGGTAAGGTCGTCGGAGGGTACCGAGTATTGCTTCCTGACGGTAGACTCATGAATGTTGAATACACGGTGGAAGGTGAGAGTGGGTTTGTGCCCAAGATTACCTTCGAGAATAACGCAAACCCATTCGGCCAGGGCAAGTAAACATGACGATGTAAATAACAACAATCATACATGTCCAAAATTGTAGAATTTCTAAATTAATTTAATTTAAATTAAAAAATATCTATTTATATTTTGTTTTTCGAATGAATTTTTAATTTATTACATGTGATTATTTTAAATTATGATGAATATTGATTATGTATCGAGTAGCCGAAGTTACCAATTCTGTGATTCAAGTTATAATAGGTCAATATTGCCATTACAACTAAGACATCTTAGTGACTAGTTTGAGTTAATACGCGTTTGTATAACTCGATTTAGTATAATTTTTTTATTCATGTAAATTTTGTAAGCAAGCAAATAAATATGTTTATAATAAATTCATACTTTTCATTTCACATGCATTAAGAATAGTACGAAAGTTTAAATCAGGAGTTGTGAACCTTTATGTATCGACGTACCATTTTTTTTAATAGAAATGTTTAATAATTATGCCATCACAAAATTCTAACTTTGTAATTATTGTGAACATTTTGTAGTGCTGGAATCGCTCGTGTTTGCTTCTCAAATTATGTTATGGCTACATGTACGACACACTTTTTAATTTGATAAAGAATTGCATAAAGAATTTTGTGTGACGTGCCTAAAAATATTGTGTCGCGTGCCATTGGTTCACCATCCCTGGATTCTAGTTTTGATTAGAATTCGCTCCGGACGCTCGTACTTACCTTGTCAGCAAGACGTGTCATGATAACAGCTGTGGCTTCGGAATCGAACTGAGGTCTTCCGGCGCGACCGACCATCTGCAGCACCGTACTGATGCTGTATTCCTATGTAAAAAAGGCAAGTATCTATTATAGGAACTGGTTTAAAAAAAAACATTGAATCATCAGCTACATACGTCCCCACCGAGGGGTTCGTGGCCTACCATAACTCAGGGGTGACTAGGCCATAGTCAATGCTGGCTCAGTGCGGGTTGTCATCAAACATATGTATCTTTGAATTTCTTTGCAGATATTTGCAACATCACGATGTTTTCCTTCACCGTTAGAACTTTGGATAAATGTACATATTTAAATTGAAAACACATCGGTATAAAGCGCGATTCGAACCCAAGACCTGCAGATTACAACCCAAGTGCTTAACCCCTGAGCCACCGACGCTCATTACTGACATTGAATGAGAATTAAAAATCGGTCAACGGTTGTCTATTCAAAGATAGTTCTTTTAAGACGGAGCTAAAATAAATCATTCTCTTACCTGGTAAGTTCCATTGACATATTGCTGTGTATTCTTGATTATTACAAGATGTGCTGGTAAGTTGACACCCATTGCTAAAAATTTATTATAACTGAAGCATAATATAGAAATATATTTAACTTTACAAAAGTCGTAGGATACTACTACGACGTGAACCGTTTTAGAAATTACGGAAGAAACATCCTGATTACTATCTAATATCATATCATTGTATTAATTTAATTTTACCAAGAGCACGTCTCTCGAATTTCAGTTTCGTAAGACAATGCGTAATCGCATTTTGCAATTTCTTTTTATGATGTCATAAACAAATATTCGCAAATTGCCTCCGTTCAAGGTCAAAAGGTCGGATACATGTGACGAATGCAAACTATTTTCTTAACTCCATATTACACGAAAAGAAATAAGTATAATAAAATAAATATTTTCTCAACTGTAAGATAAACCAAAATATGAAATATATAAATACGTAAAGAAGCTATTTGATGTTCCTAAAATAGCGAAGTGACCAGTGGCCTGTCAAATCCACCTCTTTTCATCTTTTTCTTATTCGAAAAGTGTTGGATAAGAAAGGAAAAGAAAGATAACCAGCTTAGTAAATCTAGATGAACCGCTAATATTTAAACTACTAACTTACCTAGCGTTGTTGTAGTTATCAGTATGGGAAGGTCGCTATTACGAAACGCTCTCTCTATGTTCACCCTCTCTTCGAACAGCAAGCCGGCGTGGTGACAACCGATACCGCACAATACTAATGTCTAAACAATTTTATACGGTGAATCTTCACTATCGTTACTTGTATTAGGATCATATTGCTATACCGTACAAATTCTTTAAGTTAAATAGAGATAGCGATAGTGTTTCTAAACAAGCGTCATGTAACTCGATATTTATTGATTCTAAAGATCTATCCACCATTTACACTATCGATGCAATTTAATAAAACTATCCTATCTTTTGGAAGGTATCTCCGGAACGGCTCAATGGATTTCGCTGAATTTAGTCATAGGTGTAGATACTGATCAAGTTTTATTAATTTCGCGCGGACAGAGTCGCAGGCAACAGCTAGTTTGGTATTAAGTCTCTCCTTTGTCACCCTGGACCACGTAATCGCATGTCAGTACCTCCTCTTATCTAACATAAAAGTACTAAAATAAGTAGTAAACTAACTTGAATTTTCTTAGTCTTAATAGCGGAAGCCAAAGCCGTGAGTTTCGCTTTTTGTTCTTCGCTAAACCTAAATGTAATCTCCCGGGATAAAGCCTCGGCTGTTAGAATCACACCTTTTCGAGTATTACAGAAAATCTAAAAAAAAATTAAACTAGAAGGGGGCAAACGAGCCGCGCAACTAATGTAATAAATCAAATGAAAAAAAAAAACTTCACATGAAATAGAAACCTCTTCTTTATTAGTTTCTCTACTTTATCACTTTAATTGATTTTTTAATAAACACCTGGGGACGTTTGCTACTTTAAAAACCTTCTAAGCTACAAGTAAATCACTTTTTCTTTAACAATTAATTCATGTATCAATATATCGAAGTTGCGTAGGTAATGTCGTCTTTACCCTAGCGTTAAATTCTTAACAAAAGCGCTTACCAATGTTGGCTTCTTATCATGATATCTCTGAATGATGGGCCACAATTTATAGTTTAAGGCAATATCAAATTTAAATATACTCATTCCTACGGGACAGGGATAGCCCTCGACAACTCGCTTTATCTTCACCGGACGACATTCATCTCCAAACCTATACAAGAGTCCTTTTTTAATAAATGGGGAAAAATACTGTAGGTAGGGGTAAATGGGGAAAATAAGTAAACATTGCTCACTTATAAAACACAGCGGGTTTGTTTGTAGTGCCTAGCCATTCCGCGACGTCTTCAGGATTACTTATTGTAGCAGAAACCGCGACAAATCTTATTTTAGGTGCATTTGCCTCTATTTGGGATATATTTATATTGCCTTGTTGCTTTTGAAGTTGCTCTAATCGGTAAGTTGATTGTATTGAAGACTAAAATAAAAGTTATAAGAATCGTTGGTTTCTGAGACCAAAATTATATATGAAACATATCGTCGTACCTTTCATTATCATAGACAAAACAGAGATAACAATACGCTTAACGGATCTTAATCTTAGAAACCAACGATGAATGAGTACAAAACGTGTAATTATTGGAAATTAAATACATACTATGTTTAAGTTATCGATTGAAAGTACTAATTTCAAAGAAATTAAAAACAAAATATCTTTACTGTAAAAATTTCAAGAATTTTTTTTTTGTGTAAACTTAGGAATATTTAAGGAATAGTACATACTTGTATCGTCTTCATCCGACTTACAACAGCCTCTAAGACAGGACCACGAGTAACATCGTTCAATATATGAACTTCATCTATGAGGAACAATTTGATAACTTCAACCATACCTCTGTAGTCACGCCATCGTCTTGTCAACATGTCCCATTTCTCCGGTGTTGTTATTATAATCCTATATTATTTACGTTAGTAAAGACAATGTTCGATTTCTTACCATTTTTAGGGTTCCGTATCTCGAAAGGTTAAAGACGGAACCCTTATAGGATCACTTTGTTCCTTATTTGTTGCACTTTTGACTAATATTTTTAATTCTTTTAATTGAAATTAAACAGATCGCAATAGTAAACAAGACATGGATATAGGACGAACAATTTCTTTATATAATAAGGTGACAAACGTGTAAGTGGCCACCTGAATTCACCGAATTAGCGAAGCCATTTCTGACCATAGACATGCAATTGCAGATGTCTAATTTTAATCGACGAAAGATGGGAATCGCACAGAAATACAATATTTCCCCTTTCTATGCATGCCCTACTCTATTAAATCCATTTTCCCTACCCATCCTTTTCTTATTACAAAGGGACTTTCATCTTAAGATACGCAGAAATGGTTTGAGATCGTATATTGAGTTAGATCGTAAGGATTCATACCTGTAAGGTTTCAATTGTGAGAAATCAACGTCAGTATCACCTGTTACTTCAATGCATAATGAATTAAATTTAGTAAACTTTGGGTACCATTCGGTTAACCTTTCAGTACATATCGCTTTGATTGGCGCCACTGGGAACAAAATATCTACATAACTTATCACCCCTTACTCTTAGTCTTACTAATATTATAAATGTGAATGTTTAGATTGATGAATGGATGTTTGGAAGAACACATAAGCTACTTATTAAGTTAATTGCAATTGGGCGCAGACGGAGTCGCCGGCAACAACATAAGTGCGTTATCATCAATACTACAAGAAGATCATTAAATTACAAATTGGCGATTTTTGATAATGGATCACTAAAATAAATCCGTAAAACTTTATAAATATTACAGCTTTTCGTTCCACGGCACGATGTTTATTGGCTTAAGTTGTTTATAATTATTATAACTAATGTACAAACTGTAAATAATCTTAAAATCTTCATCGATATTTTTCTCCTCCATCTCCATGAGCAATTGAACAATGGCCATTTCAAAAATAACGGTTTTCCCGGATCCAGTCGGCGCACATACCACTAAAGATTTGTCTGAAATTACATCCAATATACTCTAAAAAAAGGTAAGTTGGAATAATTTAACATTAAATATTTCGAAATCGTAATCTACGAATTAATTTTCTTACGCTGAATTATCTTCATGAAGCCAAAACAGTAAAGACAAAACAAACAAATAACATAATTAAACAAACCAGAATACAAAGCGTCTTCAATAACTTTAGTTTGTACGACGTTGAAATGTTGAAAGCTGAACACATCTCTGTACTTAGGATCTGTAGAAAAAAGTATTTAGTATCAAGTTGCAATTTTGTTTGATTTTATTCTATAAACATTGTACACTCATCGAATGCTTCTGTGGTATCCGATTTCTAGCGTTAATTTTTCTTGTAAATGTAATGTAATCAGAATATGGGATAACATTATTGTCTATCTAAATTTTATGAAGATGGAAAGACTGGAACAAGAAATATTCCATTCATATTAACAATACCTATTTCTTCAACACTTCTTAGACCTTGGCGTTCTCCTGTGTGCTTTGGTTTTCTATTGTGACTTTCATTTGAAATCTTATCATTATTTACGACATTCTGATCATCTGAGTTATTGGTACTCGATGTCGACAATGAAATTGGTGGAGAATTGTCTATTACATCATCCAATATATCTGTAAAATTTTCACTAAAAACAAATAATTTAAATTCCATTTTAATTTTTTATAATCAAAATCATAACAATAATTTACTTACAGGCTGGTCATCGTGTTCTTTTTATTCCATTTTAAATCATAAATAGTAAAATTAAATTAACATGTGACGATCATGGGAAGATTAATTAATCTTAACCTGTAAACAATTAAAACTGTTTAATTTTACCGCCAATGCCAAAATCCAAAATCTTTATGGTTATAGAGTATTGGAGTATTCAAATCAAAATTAATGAAATTAAATCTTGAAATAAATTTAACTAATTACAATATATAATTAAAGTTAAGGACAAATCATATTATTGATTGATAAAAATCCAATGAATTACTTAGGTCCACGATCCCGGTACCATTACGTAAAACTCTTTGATATCTCTCACTGCCACTGTCATTATTCATATTCTTTGATTTCAAAATCTTATTTCATGTCATTTGTCATATTTTCAAAAACATTTTCCTTAAAATATGAATTTTATATCCACCCAGCTTATTAACTGTGATAATCGCTTATATTATTTATAAGAATCAACCGTAAATTATAGTTATGTTAGTAAAATGTAGTTTAATTTGAAAATAAATAAGGGCTTACCATAGCAACTTCTTATTATTGTGTTATTATTTTTCAGGGAGTATTTAAAAGATTACGATAATGCTGACACAATCAGTATTGATACATTAGCGCTTGAGGAAGCCGTACAAGACGAACGAGAAAGAGAAATATTAGAATTAAGTACACTTAGTAAAAAAGTATGTTTTCTACACACAAGCATACTTTACTACAGGAATGCAAAATCGAAACTGGGAGCTACTTGTCACGAAGCTTGGAGGACACTGATAAAAAAAATAGGGGGTACTCCAAACACTTGGAGGGAACTTGGGTATTCCTTGGGTATATCGCAAGATGATTTAGATGTAAGTAAAAATTCCTGACATTTTGATAAACCTCAAAATTAATTGTAACAAATAATAATGATTAAGTTAAACAAGTATTTATCAATAATTTCTGAAAAATAATGTTTAATTCACCTATGATGTGATAGGAAAATTGTTTGCCACAATCAATATTTAACAATAGTAAAAAATATTATTTGTTTTTAAAATTTTACCACATCATTTCAGTACATTATGAGTACAGTAAAAGAAGATCCCGCTGACACAGTTCTTAAAGTGTTCATGCAAAATGAGAATGCAACATTGGACAAAATTCTTGATGCCTTAGTTAAAATGAAACGTTTTGATATCCTGAAATCCATAGATGATCCATTCAGTATTTTATCACAATGTTTTTATAAAGAAGACAGTGGCTACCATAGTGGTAGCAAAACAAGTGGTACAAGAGAAATCATAAGTTTTACAAAGAACCTTCCAAACGATTTACCACCAGCTTTAAACAAATCAATGGTTATCAAAGAATCTAAAAGGCCTGATAAACCAACACTCAGACCACCGGTCAAGACTGATGATACAAAGATAGAAAAGGATCATCCTATATTATTTTTGACATTTACGGAGGATGGATGGGCAACAGCAGTTAATATAAAACAATATGTAGAAAATTGGACAGATGTACCAGCAGTTAGTGTAATCACCCTCAATGAGAGAAGAGATGAAGTTTATCGGAATCCTGAAAAATTTATAAGAGAATATTTTGAAAAGGTAAGTTACTTGATTCATGCACATATGGGGCACCAATGTTACCAGATATCTTGACGGCTCTTAACTTTGTGCTAGCAAACACTGAGTAATTTGAAAAGTTTAAACCTGAAGTTTCCTTAGCTTAGGTGTGATAACTTTCATTATGCAATCTTGAACAATGCAATCAACTTTGTGTTGTTGTTGGTTTTTAGGCATGAATGTGTTTTGGATATAGCAGTATCATTTTAATTTTTTAACTCTTAGCCATATATGATAAAAAGCCATAGATTTTTATCCTTTAGATCAGAGAATTTCTCATTTCATGTTTTAATTTTTCAGGCTGACTACATAGTGCCTATAATAACAACAGGATATTTAAATGAAATAAGATCTCATACACCAAGAGTACATAACACAATTGATAATTTGGACTTTAAATATGCCAGCTTTATATATAAGTTGATAATTAACCATTATATACATGCATCTGGATGTCTCAATATAAAAGTGAGAAGTGTATTGCCTCAAAATGCAGAAGTCAATGTACTTACAGATATTAGAATGTATCCGGACTTAACACCTTGGACATATGAAGAGAACTTTGATGAGACTTTCAAAGTTTTTTTAAATAAAGAATATTTGACTTTGTAATATTGTAAATTATAATTATAGAACTGGGATTTGACTACAGTGCCACTCATAGTAATATATTGTTGAACTTGAATAAGCGAAAGTCCAAACAATAGAGGACAGAAATATTTTTCTTGCTCATAGAGGTTTCTCTCGAGACTGAGTTTCTCGCTTATGAAGGCAGACAACCTTTAATGCCTCGGGAATGACTCTGCTTTATCAAGGTTCAAGTATGCGTTGTAGTTCCTTTTTTGTGTAGGAACTAAAAGATGACAATTTGCATATGTAACATGGAAACAGTGATATATTAATGTGTTCTTATTTTGGCATATTCTAGGTTATAAGAATACTATTATGATTAACTTTTATGCTCGGATTTAATTCCTTTAGGTGCAAATAATTTAATTTTTTTTAATAAGATTTTGGATAAAAATTTTGAAATGTCACTTTTTTCGTGTTTTATTTAGTAATAAAAAGATTATTTTATGACAGCTGAATTTTATAATTAATAAAACATATATTTTCTTATAATTTATTTTATTACACACTAATTAGTCTTACATATTGGTTATGTTAAAAATTTTAATGAAAAGTTTCAAATGTTGACATTAAAAAAATGAAAAATATTTATCTCTATTTAAATAACAACTAAATATAGGAAAACACATATTTCTTACAATCAAATTTTTGGGTAAGGTTCAATTTTCGATTTAAATTAAATTTAATAAAGAAATAGTAAATTAATGTGCAATACTGCCCTCACCTAAAATCTGATTATTGTCAAATATATTGATTGTACAGAATATAACTTACATAACTAGAAATAAAGAAATTATTGTCTACAAAGAAGTTTGTTCATTGCCATCTTCAGTTTTTTGTGTGTCATCCAGAGAATCGGTCTGGCTGACATCATTGACATCAATGCCTGTGTCATCATTAGTATTATTGGTTAAATCCTGAAATAAAACAGACATATAATATAGAATGTTAAATACAACAGAAATTTGTAAAAAAAAATGGAATACTAATATACAAATATAGTAGAAAACATTAAATACTGTATCAGTTAAAACAACATATTAATTTCAATGACCAAAACCATAATTTCCAATTGAATGTCACAGCAACACAGTATTAATTTTATAGTCTACAGTCTTACATCTGTGCTAACTTTTAATAAGATTTATGCAGCCATTCAGAAGATACCTTCACAAAAAATCCATCCATCCATTCATTCCAACATTCGCATATATAATATTAGTAAAATGTGTTATTATCACGAAAAATTGCTGATTGCTAAGAATGCATGATACTTTGATTGTACCTTGGAAAGAATTATTAATATTCACTAAAAATTCAATAAAATGTTATGTAAAAAAGAGTACCTTAACAACTTCCACAAAGGCATTAGCTTCTTCCAACATTTCCCTGAGCTTAACTATCTCCTCCTTAAGTTCTTCTATTGTTTCATGAAGCTTCTCATTCTGGCTTAATGCTTCTTGCAAAGCCGACCTACAAAAGTAGTGTTAACAAAAACATTAGCTGTATAAAGCTATCACATGGTTTAAGATTCTTACTTTTGTGTGTAAACATCATAACCCCAAAAATATTAGACTACCTTCAGTGTGATGAAAATTGTTACTTATAACTATTTTTACTTAATGAAACTTTATACTCACTGGCTCTTAGTAGCTAAAGCTTTCCAGTAATTTTTAGAAGCTGTTTTAGGATTGGTCAAATCATCAACCGATACTTTGTCGTCAAGGTTAGCTTGAATTTTCTTGTGAGATGGACTTTTCCTTTTTACTGGAGGAGCTCTAGAAACAATTTAATTTTTATTATTTTGTAATATGAATGTTGTTAGCAGTTTTATTAATATTAAAACTCACATGTCGAGGACAGGAGATTCTCGGGATAACTGATGTTTAGGACTATTTGATGGTTTACCCACCAAATTTTCGGTGTCCGTTGCAGTACTTTGAATCGTCCTTAAAGATCTTCTGGTTGTGCGTGGCATATCCTACGGATATGCAAAGATGGTTAATAATGTTTATTTAACAATTACAAAAAGGTTTGGCATCATACTTACTTGAATATCACCAGAGCTCATTTTTATAATTTAGGACTAAGGCACTGAATTTTATTTATAGTAAGAAAATGAATAGATTTTTACATTTATTGAAATGAAACGTCACGAATTATTTGTAAATAAAACCGCCGTGATCTAAAAAGCTAACAGTACAAGTACAATGGCAGTTTTTGACAGTTTTACCATCACAGTGACAAATGTTTTCCCGCCGTTTTAGTATAACGCCATTGCCAATATTACCAGCTCTGTTTCCCGATGAATGGAACTTTGGAACGATGTGAGAAATCTTGTTTCTGGCGACAGCGGCAAAATTAGTCTCGTAGTTTTTTACTTCTTCAAAAAGATTCAAGAAAGAGAGATTTCATAGCAATTTATTTTCGAAACAATTTCTATCTTTACCGATATCGTTTTTTAAACTGGTAAAGCTTAAGTTATTGTCAACGTCAACGTCAAATGTTAATTATTGTCGTCTTTATCATATCACTTCAGTTTGTGTAATTTCATTTATCATCTCAAATCTAAATAGTTAAGAGTTGCGAGTGAATAACTTAACATTCACTAACTGTTTCGTATCTTCGTTGTGTAAAATTAGCTGTGTTACACCGAAATTAAGCTTTGTCTTATTTTCCTTGAAAATCCTGTCTTATTTTTGTAAATGATATTTGTAGTTAAAACTTATGTGCTGCTGGGATTATAGAAATTGATAAAAAATGGATACTTTAAGGTAAATATTTTTTTATTAATTAAACAAACGGAAAATAAAGGCGTAAAACGTGACCTCATATTAATATATCTTACAGCAATCGTCGAATCCTAAATGTGTTTTATTTGTTGCAGGTTTTATTTTGTGACCTGGAATGTTGCTACTAAGTCTCCAGGTCAAGACTTGAATTCCTTATTGGATTTTCCATCACAATTTAATAGAAACAAACCTTTACCAGATTTCTATGTTATTGGGTTTGTATATTTATTTGTAGAATTACCTAATTACCTTTCTGATAATTAATTAAATAATTTTCTTTAAATATATTTTTAAGATCCTAAAAGTTGTAAATTGTTCATCTGATTTTCTATACTTTGTTAGATTATTTGGTACAAAATTGTACATATTTTTAATAATAAACATTTTTCAGTTTACAAGAAGTTAAATCAGCTCCTCAGAACATGGTAATGGACAGTTTGTTCACTGACCCATGGACATCCACCTTTAACAAGATACTTTGTAGACAAGGCTTCATAATTGCAAAGACAATAAGGCTGCAAGGCATCATACTAATAGTGTACACACAGCTGAAACATGTTACACATCTTCGCGATATTGAAGCTCAGTATACTAAAATAGGATTTGGAGGACTATGGGTGAGAATATTTACTTTTTATTTTAATTTTATTAGTTAGGTTTAAAAAAAAGTGAAGAATGAAATTAGAAATGATACATCAATCTGGAAGACATGCATAAAGTGCGCCAACCCTTTATAGCATAGGATATGGATGGAAATGTTTCTTGTAGTTATTTTTATATGATACCGGCTGTTACCCATCACTTTATCCATTCATCCAAAATTTAAAGTAGCTGGTTCTTCTACCTACTTAATATGCATATAAAATTTCATAAAAATTGGTCTGTTTCGGAGGAGTATGGTAACTTGAACCGAATTTTATAGATAATTTATTTCAGGGTAACAAAGGTGCAGTTAGTGTAAGGTTCAATATCTATGGTTGTTCAGTGTGCCTTGTGAATTGTCATCTTACAGCACATGAACATTTACACCATCATCGTGTTACTGATTACAACACAATAGTAAATAATCACACATACCATGTCACGGAAACTACCCACATTTTGTTCCATGAGTGAGTACATTTTGCAATATTTTTAGCAAACAGGTTAAAAAATTTAAGCATTTACAAATATTAGGAATTAAAATTAGATGATTTAATGATAAGGTCACAATTGTATTTATTTTCCATGCAATAAGATTATTGTGGGACCACTTAAAAAAAAACTTTTTAGAGTGCTTAATCTTCAAGCATTGTTAAGCATTGAATAAATTAATGTTGTAACTTTAAAGCAATTTTTCACTATTTATTACAAGAAATGATTTTTTTTAAATAAAATTAATTATCCACTTTAAGTTCTATGTAGTAGAAATGATAATTACCTTAATACTTTTAGCTATGTGTTCTTCATTGGAGATTTGAACTGTCGCCTTGACCATCCGCCTGATGAAAGCCCTTCAGCGGAAGAAATAGCTGCTGCACTACAAGAGGTAGAAAAAGATAAATATGCAGCACTGCTCAAATATGACCAGTTGTATGCTTCCCAAGAATTAGATGAAGCATTTGTTGAGTTAACAGAACCTGAGATTAGGTTCCCACCCACCTACAAGTTTATATTAGGCACGGATGATTATGATCTCAAGTAAGTTAATTTGTTTATAACATAAAATTACTCCTTTCTTATGTGAAAGTTTGGATGGATGAATGGATGTTTGTTACCTTATAACTCCATTACGGATAAAGGCTAATAGGTTTATGTAAGACTGTGTAAGTTGCAGGCCTGCTTGGCCCATTCTGTCCAGCGCCTGAGCAGTCAACCGCAATAGGGTTTTTCAGAATTAATAAGGGTATGCCGTAATAACTGCCTTGAGCTGACATAAAACAATTATTGTCTGGGGCAAGTAAATGTGTTAATATAGTACCTACTTTACTTAATAATTGTTAATAGGCAAAACAAAAAAATATGTACTGTCCAATAACATTATAATTCTTCATAAATTCTAAGTCATCAATTAACCTGCGGTTTTTCTTTTAAAATTCTATGTTTATGTTACATTATGTGACTAAACGAATATTTCGTCAAAATACCTCTGACGTCATGAAAATACCTCAAAAGATAATTTATTTTTATATAATGTGGTTAAAATTGTGGCTAATTTGCTTGGAAACTTTTTAGTATGAATGTAGGTTATCTGAATCCTTAACTGTTTTATTAACTTGCAAACATATTATGTAAATGACTAGTACATAATTGGGCACTATGTGAGTGGGATAATCATCATCACTTCACTATACGTCCCCACCGAGGGGCTGGAGCCTACCCTAAGTTACGGGTGATTAGGCCACAGTCAACCACGCAGCCCAAGTGCGGGTTGATTGACTTCACAAATATCTTTGAATTTCTTCTCAGACATGTGCAGGTTGCATCACGATGCTTTCCTTCATCGTCAGAACATCGTATAAGTGTACATATGTAAATCGGTTATCGAAAAACACATTGTTACATGGCGGGATTCGAACCCAGGACCTGCAGATTGCAAGTCAAGTGCTTGACCCCTGAGCCACCGACGCTCTATGACTGTTATAAGTCTAGATGATATTACTGAATACATCATTTTTTTAGGAGAAAACCATCATGGACGGACAGGATACTGTACAAAGTTGTACCTAATAATTATGAAAATATAACTCTGAGAGCGGATTGCTTAAGTTACAATGACGTACCACATTACACAGTTAGTGACCATAAACCCGTGGTAGCAGTTTATACCATCAAGGTCAGTAACATTTTTCTCATTTGAATTGCATGTGAGTTGAATATTGTCTAGGAAATTAACTAATATTAGTGGTAAGCCTTTGCAGGATACATTACGTAGTGTTTTTATGTTAATTTGCTGGCTAATAAACTCTAATTAGACCGCACAATATAAATTTTACAATTGTCCTTGTAACTTACTTATGGACGTGTTTCTTAATGTTATATATTAGTGACTATTTTACGATTTTTTGAACTCTCTGTGTCTTTGTCTTGAATCTTGATTAGCTGTTAAATCGGTTTTAATATGACAGCTATAATAACTCTTCATCGTAAATATATCGTAGTGTGCATTATAACGAAGCCAAGGTCCACATCGCGCTAGAGATTTTATTAAGCGAGCAAAGAGGTTACATAAACTATTGCGTTACCACATTATTGCGATATAACATACTTTAGTTGGTTATATTATGACATTTTTCAAACTACTATTTTAACGAATCTAAAATAATTTAATTCAACGGTTAGGAAGATTGTCGGCAGTTAATTTTTAAAAAATTTCTTAAAAAATTTTCTTACGATAAAAACATTAGTAGATTAACGACCTATATCATCTCAATTAACTGGTCCAAAACCAGAATTCATTTATATAGAACAAGTCGGACTAACTTTTGCTTAACACAGTTAAAAATAGAGAATGGTTTTTAATTTTTGCTTACTTTTTACCAATAATGCACTGCACACATGCATGCCTGTATAGCTTTGCTAGTATGCATTAGTTTTAGGTCACAAATCCTAAAGCAAAAAATATACAAAACAATTGGATGTAGTTGCTTTAAACTAACATGCACGCTAGGTTCAGAGGCTCCTCACTCGCTCCCTGATGGCTGATGTACCGAGAGCAACACGTTCTATGATTAGAATGCGGACCGCTCTCGTCAAGCCTGCGGACACCCCTGAAGACGAGGCAGGCACTAGTACCCCTGATGTTCCTGAAGGTGAAGAAGAAGAAGAAGATGTATGTGATAACGTAGATGGTGTCTTCGTCTCAGATGAGGTATGTTCGCATGAGTATGGTTTGCCGTTCGGGCTTGTTAGATCACCTTCGTTATACCAAAGGTTGGAATAAAGTGTTTTGGGGATAGTTGGTAGCTTAGAAGCATTCATGGTTTTTGTTTGTTTGGTTGTAGCATGTTATGTTATGCTTTGGCTTGTTTTGTATAGTTTTTCATGTTTTGTATACTGTTTTTATGATTATATCGTAACATATTGCAGTTAAATTTTTATTACGATAATTCGTTACTGTGATTATCATTGCACCGTCTGTTATGTTTATAAAATACATATAAAGAACACTTCTAACTTTAAAGTTTAGCAGTTTCATGTTTACGACAACTTCAAACCACGATGTAACTATGTTTGAGTCTTGAAGTGTCTACATTCAATATAATTTCTTATTGTACTAGCTGTTGCCCGCGATCAGTCCGCGTGGATTAAAAAAAAAACTTAATTAGTAGCCTATGAGTTCTGCCAGACTATGTTTTACATCTGTGCCAAATTTCATCAAGATCCATTTAGCTGTTATGGCGATACCTTGTAGCAAACATCCATCAGATTGTGTTTAATACGTAACACATGAGTTCCATTTGTTTAAACCGTTTAATGTAACTGGCTGATGTGATATTCCTGTATGTATAGCGTGTTGCGGGGTTTCATTATTGTCCTACTTAAGATCCGCATTATGTATGTATCGTAGGATATTCTGTTTGAATTAATTTATCCAACTAACCCAAATTACTCATTACCCTTTAATTATTTAACGAGCTTTCAATTTATTATGATGTCTTGGTATCTTAATTGTTTAACCGATTTTGAACCTTGAGGTTTTATCAAATATACAGTCAGACAGTGTTTTTTTTAATTCTCTGTATTACTTGTTTATCCAAATGGCTAAAAAGTTGTCGCGGTTTGTATTATTATATTTACCAAGCTTTCTGTTATATAAAGCTGGCTATCAAGAAGTTTTGTTTTTCTTTTATATTGAGTATGTAACTATTATCAGCTCACTATACGCATCCACCGAGGGGCTCATAGCCTACCTTAAATCAGTGACCAGGCCATAGTCAATCACGCTGGCCAAGTGCGGGTTGGTTGACTTCACACATATCTTTGAATTTCTTCTCATATATGTGCGATTACATCACGATGTTTTCCTTCATCGTAAGAATGTAAGTGTATTATTATTATAGATATAGAAGATAATTTTTATGTTATCATATCATTATTTAAAATCCGATAATGAAAATCAAAATTTGTTATTGCACAATGATTGCAAATGTATCAAAATCTAGTTTAAAAAGTATTAAATTAAAATAAATCCTATTTAGTTTTTTGTAATCCGTAATACGGATACGACTCATTTTCTGGATAATTGTTGCGAATGTAAAATCAAATTTGTTTGAATATTCTAACATGTTTTTCCCTCGCATAGAACTAACAAAGAGATAATCGTTCCGATAAGCCGAAGATAAGTATATGATAAATACCACTTATTGAGTTGTGCCGCTAATATCCTGTATGTAACTTTTGTTTCAAAATTTTACGATAAATTTCAATACGTACAAAATATGAAAAATCCCTATTTTTTCCGACGTTCTTACGGTGAAGGAAAACATCGCAATACAACCTGCACATATCTGCCAAAAAATTCGAAGATATGTGTCAAGTCAATCAACCCGCACTTTGCCAGCATGGTTGTCTATGGTCTAGTAACCCTTACTTTATGGTAGGGTTCGAGCCCCTTAGTGGGGACGTATAATGAGCTCATGATGATGTAACTTTTAAATTGCTTTGGTTTTATATTCAACCTGAAATGGATAGGCAATAAGGCTACTATCGCAATTATGATATAAATATGATTCATTTTGTACTTGACCATAATCCTTATTGAGTGACTTATCAATGTTGTGTCTTATCATAGAATCTATGTACACAACAACTTTGCCACTTTGGAATTAAAGTATCTTGTTATAAAGACATCCAATTTTTACATTGGCTCGGAATATCATGAGATACGCTAGACAATATACCATTTAAGTTGTCAACGGTCGAACTCGAGCTTTCTGTCGCTCGCAGTGGCTGCTGACATCGAGCTGCTATTAAGATTGAATCTTGTAATACTTTTCATCAAACGAATTTTATGATACCGGCAAAGTAATATCCAAAAGTGATGATTTTTCTGGTACACAAACACTTATTTCCCTGTAGTAGAGAAGGGATATTTGATGTAATAATTCCTTAATAATTTTTATCATTGATTGTTCGCATCTTAAAATGTAATGCGAAATACGGAGAATGTAATCATTTCGGAAATACGCAGAAATCGAAAGACGATTTTGTTACTGATTCCCTCCTTAGTAGTTGTGAGCATTTTATCTTCTTATCTAATAGTTACAAGCCATCGATTCTAAGAACTTATCGGACATTTGAAATCAATAAGCAAACAAAGGATTTCGTTTTACAGCTAACTATTATCTTACTAATATTATAAATGTGAATGTTTACATGGACGGATGGATGTTAGAAGGTATCTCTAGATCGGCTGCATGGTTTTCGATGAAATTTGGCATAGATGTAGAACATAGTCTGGTGGAACATATAGAATACTTATTAGTTTTTTTTTACTTTCATGCGGACGGAGTCGCGAGCGAAAACTTGTTTAATAATAAATATATTCACTATGCATACTTAATTCAAGCTTCCAATATTCAAACCTTCCAACATACCTGTAATCCAACATTCCAACATCTAGACTGTATTCAACCGATTACTCGACAGGCTAAGAAGTCGATCAAAGAATCAACCAACTACGCAAAACTACCCAATTACGTAAACTTTGTTATGTATTGCTTCGATATATTGTTGCAGGTGATGGCCAACTATACAGAGAAGACGGTGGAATTCGCACCCGTGGTGAGGATCTGGTACATCGGGGACGCGGACTTTAGAACGCAGTGTACTTTATCACCCGACGTTGAAATAAACCCAAATGATTGGATCGGCATTTACGATGTAAGTGTAACGACAGATATAACTAATTCATATAGCCTTTTAGACTACATATCGGTCGATATTTCAAGTTAACTTGCTGCCTTCAGTCATTAATTGATCCCTAAGGGGAACACTTATTGCTTTGCGGAAGATAAACTTTGTAAACAATAGTTATATATTATTTCACTAAAATAGGTAAAAATAAGCGTTCTTGGCTCTACATAAGAGAGAACTTACCACTTTTTATTTTATAGTTTTATACTTTTAACTTGAAACAACTCTATTAAGGTTTTATAGGTTTTGTTTATTTAATTTGATTATTATTTGCTTATTGTGAGTTAATTAGTTCGTTCTAGTTTTGCTAATATCGATGTCAAGGTTGCGATGCGTTAATAAGTAAAGCATGTCAGTATTTCATTGATTTATGCGATGAGCTGATTTGTACTTTTACTGACAAGTCGACCCGACGAAAATGTAACTCTTTTCGTTTTTAATCTCTTATATAACTCTTTTCTTCGAATAAAGTTATTCAATAGTGGTATAAAAGTATACTATCTTACGTTTAGATAGTCCAAGGGATGTTTTTCTCTGTTTTCTAATCTAAACTAAACAGAGTTTCTCGCTTATGGAGATCGGAACCGGACAACGACTCTCGCTAATAGAGGTTTCTCGCTTACTCATGTTCGATTTTGTCATTCTCTGTCTTCTTCATATCACAGCTATTATTGCAAAAATTGCGTGGATAGTTGCTTGTAATATTCTACAAGATAAATTTTTAACGCATTTTGAAAACAGGTTAATTTATAATATGACAAAAAATGATCATATCGAGGTATCGCGATGACATTGTATAATTTCAAAGTATCCGGAAATGTTACTATGTGCGATAAATTTAGTAGTTTTGCTTATTTTTATCAATTCTGATAACTGATAAATATAATTTACCTGATAAGTATTATAGGCATTTTTTACAAAACGGATATGACATTAAATTCTGTGTATGTCTATGGGCAACGGTCACTTCGCTATTTCAGCGATTTCAGGTGACCGCTCGTTCGTTTGCCATCTTATGATATAAAAAAAAATTAGAATATTTACGATTTCTCGTTAAAATCGATAGACAAACCTTTGTTTATTTACTCTTTAGATAAAAAGAGATAGATTAAACATTTTTTTTTATTTTAACTTAAAAAAAGTAATATTTCATCTAAACCTTCAGCCCCCTATTCACTAACGCTTGCGGCTAGTCTATATGCGGAATATTAGTCTTATCGTGTTTCTGACAATCTCGGTATAAATCATATATTCATGTGTTTTACACAGGAATTTTGGTCTCAGAAACCCACGGTTAGTCTAGTTACCGAGAAAGTCGTACTATTAAAGAATTGATAAAGTAGGATTTTTTTTTCATGGAGATGGGCGTGCTTTTAGTACTCTTTGAAATACAGATCTTAAACAATTTCCGATGTATCCTTTAGTTATTTTGTCCGTTTTACAATTCTAGGCGGATTTCCACAATTTAGACGACTACATCGCATACGAGTACCTCGCTAAGGTATCATTACCACACGATTCTCCGGAGAGCGGACAAGCGCGCACCATCACGCTCAGCTTCCCTGTAGGCAGCGGTGTGCGCACACCCGGCTTCTACCGATTCATATATTTCAGTCAGCCCAATAACGAAGTCAGGAGTGTCTTGGGTAAGTCTTCGTTTAAGTTTCTTCATACACTAGGCAAAGTAAATTTAGTATACAACGTTGACCACATTTGTATTTGACATCGCTAACATTCTCCTGCAACCTTGCGTCCCGGAGGCCTAATTTAGTCCTCTTTCCCTTCCCACCCTTTTTCTTATAAGGAAAGGATGGGAAGTAGAAGTGGACTTTCCGGATGAGAGGATGCATGGAAAGGGAAATTATTTTCTTTCTAAGCATACTCTCCTCCGTCGATTAAAGATAGGCAACGCATATGCAATAACGTATGTCTATGGGCAACAGTCACTTCGCTATTTCAGCGATCTCAGGTGACCGCTCGCTCGTTTGCCACCTTTTGATATAAAAAACCTCTATGTCAAGATCTTTGTGTGAAAAGTAGTTGCAATTTTTTTAACACAAATTTTCAAAATGGCGGAACAAATCTATATAGTTGACAGTTTACAATGCCAATTTAAACCTTAAAACGTTGTAACAAAGTCGTCTATTTGCTTTAGGTATATCAGATCCATTCGAAGTGTGCAGCAAAGAGGATGCTCTGGTTACAATAGATCCGTGCGAGCAGGCCTCCACCAGCTCGAGTTCCGGCAAGCCGACTACCGCGACCACCGACTTGTTCACCGACTTTACCGGCCTTGACGTCACGAAGCTGTCGCGACATTTCTCCAATGACCTAAGTATTGACTGACTAAAGACCTATCTTCCCAGCTCACCTGTCGCTAGGAAGAAACGAGACGATTAAAAGGTATTTTTAAGAGTAAATGTCACGTATGTGATCCCGTTGTATAGTTGATTAAAATCATCATCACCATCATCATCATCATAATAATTTTCATCATCATAACTATCAGCCCGTGTCAGTCGCATCAGAGAGAGTCACAAAATTCAGTAATATGACAAGCTAACCGCATTAGGAGTGGATAAAAGTTCACCTTTTTGTAGAGTATTAGGTGTTTACTAAATCTAAACTAAGGGCCACCACTTAACAACTCTCTGTGCGGCTGTGTCATGCATATATTTTTAGCAATATAACCTTTACGATGATGGCACTATATGTTTGATTAAGAATTGTGTGCATTTGGTATTCACCTACCTTGTTTGTGACAAAATAAAGTTCATTTTCGCACGAATGTTCCAAAATTAAAACAAAAATTTTACCATATGTAGCGTATGTCATCATTTTATACGTTTTATGTACTTATTATTTATTTAAAGTAGTATTCAGTTATTTCGTCATTAACAAAAATATCAATGCAATAGTGAACTTTATTGCTAAAGGATTATGTTTTATATTCATTTAAAATAGGTCTATTTAGAAGCGACAATGAATCCATGAGCATTTTGATAGGTTTAGAAAGAAAAAAAATTAATACCACACAAATAACACACAAAAAATTAAAGAAAAGTTTAGCATAAGATAGCCAATTCATTTAGCTAATTCAGTATTAAATTAAGACACAGAAATCAATCAAAACTATCTCGTCGCAGCATCAACGCATGCGCAAGTTTAAAAGTCAAATGAGCGAGATAGATGAATCGCTCTCGCTCATTCACTCTTTCGTTCGTGTCGAGAAAAGGACGGGTGATTCAGTAGCGGTGTTAGGCTAGGGCGAGGTGGTGCGACCGCCCTAAGCGCCGGGCTTAAGGGACGCCTGAGGTGCGCCCTAAGATACTTTATCTTTGGAGTTTTAAATCTCGCCCAGGGCGCGAGAAATGGTAAAGCCGGCCCTGGGCTGATTCTAAGAACGATAAATTCAATTAAAATTTTATCATGGCTTCTAGACAATAAACGTTTTGTAGGTAAAATGTATTTAAATTACTATAAGGTTATTTAGTTTCAGTGATTTAATAGTACAATTATTAGGTTATATTTTTCCTGCACTAACTATAGGTACAATGTACTTGCCTAGATACAATAGATTAAATATAATTTGCCTTTGTTTAGCTTTTCTTAGTAAAATTTGTAAAAAAAATCTATTATATATTTCTTTGTTATTTGTGGGATTTCCCATTATCAAATTCCGCAATCAAGAAAAATCTAATTAGTTTTTGTAGAAATGATTCATTAATTGTCGTCACAAATGTATTTGATAAGATAAAGGTACAATATAGTTACACGCCTATTGTTTTTATATTGTGTTAGTCGCTAGTCAGATTATAAACTAACGGAGATGACCCGATGCTACTAGAATTAATATATATATATTGTCTCTATTTTGTTAAACATGTAAATGACAGTGAAATTCCACGGTTATTCGTAAAATCGAGTTTATGTACAATGAACTAGCGTAGTTTGTTTTTATATAATATTCTTAAGCTGTTTAAAGAATGTATAGATATTTTACTTCTATCTGTAAATGTATGACAACAGACAAGAACATATAGTATTTATCTAGACCGGTAATATATAAAAATACATACGCATGGAAACTGACATAAAAGAAAAAAAACCTTGACAACATACCTGTGTCACTTTTTTGACATTGATAAGGTGGCGCTAGTGAGCTGAGACAGTTTAATTTAACTTGCCCACCGGGACACATATATCACCAAGAATATCTGACCTTGTCATGTCAAACTAAATTATATCAGCTCATTAGCTCACCTTGTCAATGTTAACTGTCAAGTATAATACTATGACTGACCAGGTCATATATCCTTGTTTGACTATATATGTGTATAGTGTGTCTATTTAAGATAGATTAGTTTGACAATTCATTTGACCGTCCATTAAGTACAATATTAATCGTCATACAAAATTAAATCGATACTTATTAGGTGCTAGTTGTCAAACTAATCTATCTTAAATAGACACACTATAAGTTAGATTCGAAATGGAATGTCACAATGACAGTCACAATATTTTATCTTTAATATTTGTGAGAACACAAGCTTAGAACACAATAATTATGTTTGTTAATGACCTATTATATGCTAATATTATACGTAATTCATATATCTTTCCTATGTTAAATTCTGTGAGTAATTATAATCCCCATCTTAGCTATTTAGATGGTTTGTCAGGAAATTTAGTACATTTCTGTTACCAAATATTGCCATATTTGAAATTAGATAAATATCGTGTAATTTTCTTTAAAAAAAATCAAGGCTTTCAGTTAAATATTTCTATGATATTGTTATAAAATGTAAATATTGTAATACATACGTAAAATTCCAAATAGAGGCGCCTAGCGATATGTTTCCCTTTTTTTATTAACTTTTTCTATGATGTTTATGGCTTTTCTTAATTTTTTTATATTTTTAAAATTAAAAACTAGTGACATCTTACGGCTAACAGCAGTATATGTGTGAATAGATTCCGCATTAAATAAAAGATGTCGCCACTATGAGGCAGTTTGTTTTTAGTTTTTACAAAGAATCATAGATGGCACCACTGGAAATCAACCGCAGAAGTAAATTCTCAAAGTTTTTAAATTGCGTTGTTGTTTTTTTGTTATTTAAAAAAAAATTAGCACTATGAAAAATGAGTGTCGACCACAATGGTTTATGGTGCCTTAAATCTGCTGTTTTCAAACTTTTTTGCAAACTTTAAGAAACGCTGTCTTAAATAATACGTCAAAACAAATTTAACTTCAATAATGTACATACCAATATATTATTATATTATGAGAAATGTAAGTACAGTATTTTTTCATTAGGAAAAATAGTTTTATAGTCTATTGAACCCCAATCGGCATGCAGTAAATGAAAACTTAAAAATTAACTTAAATTGTGACATTATTTTTATAAAGTTACATTTTTAAAGATTAATTAATATTGCGGTTAATTACGACAGCTGAGATTATATTATATTTCGCTAATTACTATGTTTGTTCAACAAAATTTAATTATTTTATGCACCTTATTACTTTAAAATAAGGTTCAAAATATTTTAACATATTGTTAGCTCTTAAAAAGGCTTACTACATGAATGTAAACATGACTTAGACTTGCCTTGTTTGTATATGTCTAAAATAAGACAAGCACATGTCAGTATTTTGTAAGACAACATAATATAAATCAAACAAAACTGATAGCTTAAAAAAATATGGCAAAATATTGTTCTTCTAAATTCAAGCTTATCTTCTGCACAGTATTTTAGGCTTTTTCTATATTAACCGAAAACTAAAGACATCAATAATTAAAACACAGAGTTAAATTCTGACTAAGGCTCAAAATCGGCTCATAGTTTGCGACAATAAAAGAGAGGCTCAAAAAATAAATAGGTAGAAATGAAGGGAAAAGTTTTTTTTTAATTTACAACTGTTTATTTTCTTATACTCATCTATATCATTAAAAAAACAATGTTTTATTTATGTGTAATTTAAATACGTTTAAATAATGGTATATAATACTTAGGGCCTAAAATTTCAAATATACTAGCAAGTTTTTCCATGTACTAAAAATAAATTATTTTACGTGCGTGTACAGTACGTTTCAAATATCTTGGAAGCTCGGAACATTATACGAGACGCTGCATGAACATATAAATATAATAAATGAAAACAAATTCATCAGTATTGAAAATGCTTTATAAATATAACATTCCATGTTTATTTGGCTTACCTTATATTAAACCGGTTACAATGACATCGACAGGACTGCCGATATACAGTTGTAAAAACCAATATTCTATTGTTAGCTCTAAAAGCAAGTCATTGTCCGGTCATGACAGACGATCTCCGTAAGCGAGAGACTAGGGTTAGGGAAACATCTCTATAAGAGAGAAAATGTCGTAGTCCTTTTGACTCTTGCTTATCCAGGTTCGGTTTAGACATTCCGTTCAATCGGGATCTGTGATTTTGGTCGTCATAACCGATATGTTTTTTTAATCGAACGTGAGTTTTTTCTAATATAATGATAGCACGATGTTAATTTGTTTTAAGAAATAATACTCTATATATCTCTACATTTTATATATACCACCGATTAAGTGACACATTTATATGTAGTGTATTTCTTGTAGCAAAACATATTTTCAGTAATTGTATAAAATTAAATTTATTGTAAGTACTTATTGGGAATATTTACTTATGTAATAAATAAGGTGTATTTATGTTGAAACGCTACAGTACCTATGTTTTATCTTGCCGAAATATATTTATTCCTGCTTGATGAGATTTTAAATAACAATTGTTGATACTAGGGAAATATGGCTTACGTTATTATCAAGTGTTTTTTCTAAAACAAATGTGTTTTATTATAATGTATATCATTTGGAGAGATCAATTTTACTCACATAACTTGTAATTTGTGATTCATAGAACAGATCGTAAAACATTTCATTCCTGTAATGATAATTTAATTTATTATAAAAGATGACTTGTAATGGTATGCATTTTTTGGTTACGGGCATGTTGTAGAGTATAGTACAAATGTTTAATTTAATCAATGTCACAACAGTTGTGTTACTATAATAAAGTCTATTTAGTTGAATGTTTTGTTTTATTTTTAAACACGTGCCATTCCAGCGGCGTGACGTGACGTGACGTAGTGCCGTAGATACGTCGTCGTGTCATACGCGGCGATGAGTAAACCGATGGCGCGATAAGGGATACGTGAAACTGAGTGATGTTTATCGGCGGGCTGCGGAGTGCGGCCGCGTAGCGCGTAGCGTTATCGGGAAAGCGCGGGAAAAGCCGCCGTCGAGCTCAGTAGGCCCGCGTACGCCGACCGACATGGACGTTACGACGCGCGCGCTCGTTTTGGCTCTAGCCGCGCTCGCGATCGTCGCGCGCGCCCACCTGCCGTCCCACGATAACATACTCAGAGTCCAGCTATGGGACGCCGAAGGTCTCAGCCGAGACCCCGTGCCCCCGCGGATCTCGGAGTCAGCTCTCAACCATCGCAAGCTCAAAGTCAACGTGAACTCCTTGTACGATGCCATGATGAAGGAGTCGGAGCACGGCGCGGAGAGGTTCGCCCGGCACAAAGTCCGGCACAAGCGGAGGAGGCCGCGACAGAGTGGCACCGACCTGCCCTGGAGGTTCCACTCGGGCGCGGGTTCGCTCAACGTGGCCGCCTTCGACGACGCCGTACCCTGGGACGTGATCGAGGGGGATGGATTGGGTAACGCGAGTGTAGTGAGTGCCGCGAGTGTCTTGAGTGCCGCGGTTGCCGGCGGCGGGCCGGAGAGCTCGCCGCGAGACGTGTCGCCGCCCATGACACTGCGCCAGGACGAGGAGGTAATGAGCGAGGGCAAACAGCCGGCGTAGACAATGCGGGCGCCTTTCAGCGCCATCGCCGCCGCGGGGATGCCGATATTCGCTTAATGAGCCGGCGGCTCCTCAGTGCCGCCGGCTCTATTCACCACTTCCTTTGACTCCGCACCCTCGGGCGGCGATGCGCTGATAAAGTGAATGCCCTCCATCCATTGTTTTTAAAATATGTTTTATCGCTGTATGTCGATGTTATCGTTCCGGGCGGCCTCGAAATGAAGTAAAGTGTTTAAGGGGAGATTGGCTCGCAGTCGGTAATCGGGAGATATGTCACTGATAGCGGCCGTTGCATTCACGTCGCGTTTCCTCGACCGCTCATAATTTAAATACAATAACGAATGTTGGTAACGAAAACTTATCCGAGTCGAAATTTTGTTATCGGAAGCGATTGAATGAAATTCCTGATAACATAATTTATCGTGTTAAACATTTCGTGGCCGCCAATCCGGATTGTATTGCAGATAGGATAACAATTGTAAAAGTGATTTAAGACGCTTCTAGCTATTATGTTTTTTTTAATTTACTTTGTAAGCATCTCAAACATCTGATATTAATGCCATGTGATGATTTAAAACCTTCATGTACAGTTGCCTCTCATAAAGTGTATTATTACGATTATTGCGAATATTTTTTACCGTGGTATGGCTGTGGAATGGACTGAAGTAATTAACTTCTTAGGCTTTTAAGATGTAATCTTTTAATAGTGTTTAGTGTACGTTGTAATCTTGTAGAAATATTGTTAATGTAGGCATGTATGAGAATTTATTTTCAATATATAAATTTCGACACATAAAGGAATTTCATTTAGTTTGTTGTACGGCGTTTCTGCAACGAATCCATTGTAACCGCCCCCCGGCCCTACACTTTGTAGAACCCCCTTTACATACCCGGAATTTAACATCCGACCTTTCACATATATTGTTAACCTTTTGCGAAACTGGTTGGGGTTCGAATGTAGGGCCAGTTCTGCATTGCTGATTTATTTCGTTCAATGGATATTCGGGTCCGTATTCAATATATGAATGGATTTTGTACAGGGTGATACAAAATTATCTACTGTAATTTGGTTCCATTTTATACATCCTGCTAAGGTTTATAATATTCTATTTGAATTCAAAATGTCAGTGTCATATCCAAGTATTTAAAAACAGAGAGACATTTAAACAAATGACAAACGCGATGCATACTTAAGCAAGTTAAAAGATTATAAATAAAGTAAAAACTATACAAACCTATCGTTAACAAAAACTATTGGAACTAATTTAAGGAGCCAAGAGACACTGACTGACTATAAACCTACAACACTCCGGGGAAGAATAGGAATCAAATAACACCTCAATGTAGATAATTGGTCAAGCTGTTTAGATCGTCAGGTGGAATGGGCCATCACCTAGAATATAAGTATCAGACAAAAAAAACCGTTCAATTAGTAAAGTAAATAAACGTATACATTTTTATACTATAATATAATATCATATCAAGCACAAAATTGAAATATTAAACGCTAGTAAAATGAATTCACAAATTATATGATAGTCAATTAACGAGCATGTTTTCAAAATGCATTTCGCGCTATATCCATCAACTAGATGTGTGACCACCGTCCACGCCCGCCGCCCGCAGTGCTCCGCCGATCAACCGGAAATTAGGCGCAAATCAATAATTTCCCTCGCAACACTGTCCACCGATCAACACGTTAATGCTGTCTGATAGACATTTCGCTGTCAGTATACCTAAATTAAGCTCATCGACACTAACTGTGTGTTTCTGAGCCTAAAATACCAGTTTAAAACATATTAAACTTTGGTCTCAGAAACCTAACTCATCAATACAAACGTAATTCTTACATAAAAAGAATAAAGATTGATAAGATTATGATTGACAAATTTTGAAAGGACTGAACTAATTTTTATGATGACTTCTTTCTTTAAATTTAAAAAGATCCTACATTTTTTTATTGATATTCAAAAATGCGTACTATTCAACTACTTTATACACTGGCGTGCGTATAGTTGAAAACATTAATAGAAATGAATCAGAAGCTTAAATAGCTTTTGAAAACTATGTAATATAAATTTGTATAAATATACTTCGCGAAACATGGATTACATTTTATTTTAGCTGCCTCCCCCACAGTAATGATGATGTCAGTGGAATCACATATTACTTCTAAACTAATAAACTAAGATTTAATATAGATGCTTGTGGTGAATATTGAGCTTAGCATTAATGAGTTTTTAATACAGTCTGATTAACGCTTAATAATAATATACATCTATTCCTGTTTACTAACAATAAGGTCGATACAAAACAAAACACTATTGTTTTTAATGTTTACAAAACTTTAAAAAAATAAACAAATGATAGAAATAATATTGTGATCGAGTCTGTTTTAGTATATTATAAATAAACAGTCTCATTGTCGAGTAAACATAAATAATAAACACTAAAACATTTTTTTTACAAACACATCGCACCATTATTTATCTTACTAATATTATAAATGCGAATGTTTGGATGGATATTCATTTGAAGGTATCTCCAGAACGACTGAACGAATCTCAATGAAATTTGGCATAGATGTAAAACATAGTCTGAAAGAACACATAAGCTATTAAATAAGTTTTTTTTTAATATCGCGCAGACGGAGTCGCGGGCGACAGCTAGTTAAGGGAGTACTACTAAGCTACTAAAACATTTTGCATAAATCTTTCATTCGTTCAGCACAGATTAAAGCCAATAACAATTTATTCTGTAAACATTTATCTTTGTAACTGGTCAATAAGAAATATAATCGACCATACACTTATCTTGCGTATTTAAAAATAAACAAAAAGTATGTTGTATGTTTAACAATAATAATTACGTGAGAAATGACTGCCGAGTCTCGTTCCGTCAAGGTTGCTTAGACATCATTTACTATCTTGACACTGCCTACATTGTTATTACTAAGTAACGTTATATACTTACCTACATTAATATGAAAAGATTTTTTCGTTAACTTAGCGTTGGTATAACTCTTCTACGAATCTACAAATGTGGTTCAAGAGTCAAAACTTGACAGATTTGTTAGCGTAAGTCGTATTTTACCCCAAAATATTATAAAAATCAGTGACTTACGTAAAAGTTATAGAAAAAAATTGAGTTTTTAATTCGATAAAGTTTGGAATAAAAATTCGCAAGAGGAAAATGTCTACAACCCCCAAAGGACTAATAGCGTCACCGTAACATGTAATAAAATATTCATGAGTTTTATTATACGTGTACTTTGTCAATTTAGATAAAATAAATCTAAAGAATATTTACTAAGAACTAATTGTCGACCATTCATTAAATAAATTGGATTATCCGTATGTATTATTAGAAAAAAATATACATCGTGTACAAGATGCTTAATTCACAGCGAAAAACCAAAGATTAAAATGTTTGTCCGTCTGCGTTTGTGTCGTGAATCTTCGAAACGGCTAGGCCGATTTTGACAGAACTTTAAAGCGATGATAGCTAATGCATGCGGGCATATTATAGGCAACTTTTAGACGATTACTAGAAAGAAGTAGTAATTTAATATTTAAAAAAAAGTTTTTCTGCACTTCTTCTCTACTATAACCGTGTCAAATTTAATTAGAAAGGGGTACAAGATTTTAGCTTTACTTACTAATATAATAATTTGTTTGTGAGAGATTACGTTAAACTATAAATTTCCGTCGAAACCATACATTTAACGTTGAAAGATTAGTGTAACACAATCTGTCCTCATTTGGGCGGTTGCTAATTTAATTACGTTCGTACAAACTATATGCATACATATAATTTGATTTTACTACCGTGGTAATGAACATTGTCGGTATTTCAATTAAGCTTGAAATAACTCGTGAATCTGTGACGTCACCCGTGACGTCACCCGTATATGACGCTGAAAAGGTTTACGCTTGTCACAGATTGGGTGGAATTTGGACGTAATTGTGTTACTGCGATTACGTTTCGGTATTCCTTTTAGGTTATAATGCGGGTTTTATTTTACGACTGCATTTTTTAAATGTAGACAGATGAATTAAAGAATTATTTTTAAATAAATTAAAAGAAACCATATTTTTCAATTCTGATAAAAACCAGACCAAATTATCGATAATATTTCTGAATTAGATTCCAAGAAGAATACCAATCGATTGATACTGAAATGCTAAAAATAAGTGAACATCACAAAAGTACTTACCTATAGAAGAAATCTTAATACAGACAGGCAAAAATTATAAGTAATAATTATATTAAAATTATTATAGGCTATTATAATTGAAATCGTTTAAGTGTAGAGTAACGCATTAAACGTCGGTGGAGGCTATATTTAATTAAAGAACAAATGAAAACACGGTGGTAAATGAGTGGATTTATTGCCGTATATTTTGGGTAATAACAAGACAAAAGACGGCTTCCAAAGCTTTTGAATTAAATTGCAGCAGTCCATAACCACAGCTGTAACACGCAACCACATTTCTAATTAATAATTAAAGCAATAAAGGGACTCAGACTCTAACACCCTAATTTATTAATACAACGAAGCAACTATGGCATGTTAGGTGTGGTTATTATTTTTGTTTTATTATTTTCTTTTTTTTTAACTATGACATTGGATTTCAAAAAGGTTACATAGCTTTTAAGATGTATCTAGAATGTATCTATTAAGCTTAGAAATAGCACCGTGTAGCAAAGAATGGTTAAAATAGAGCGTTGTGAAATATTGAAAACGATCCGATAATTCGAGTAGATTGAAAGAACGAAGGAAAGTGCACAGGAACGTACTAGTGCTTTCATAAAGCGGGAAATACAGAACTTTATTAGCTTCTCTATGATAACCTTTGCTCTATGAAAAAAAGTTTATAACTTAATAAAAGAAGAAATCAAATATCTATTAATCTATAAATCTGCACAACGAATCTAGCCAGTCAAAATTTAGTAACATTTTAAACTAA